AAGACATGTTAAATTCATCAAAAATGACATGGACACTCTCCTCAACACGAAGAGTCCTTTTATTAAAGACTCTATATGCTTTGCTGTGAGAAGAGTATCCAAGGAAGATTCCCTCATCACTTCTAGGATCAAATTTATCAAGCTGGTCCTTCCCATTATTATGCACATAACATTTACATCCAAAAATGCGAAAATATGTAATGTTGGGCTTTCGACCTTTAAGCAGTTCATAGGGAGTCTTATTTAACTTTGGTCTAATGAGACCTCTATTCAATATATAGCAAGCAGTGTCAACAGCTTCTCCCCAAAAACTCTTTGGGAGACCACTCTCAATGAGCATCGTCCTCGCCATCTCCTCAAGAGTTCTATTCTTCCTTTCTACAACACCATTTTGTTGAGGTGTTCTAGGGGCTGAGAAGTTGTGATTAACTCCATGTTCCCTACAATAATCAATAAAGTTAGCATTATCAAATTCAGTACCATGGTCTGATCTTACCGAGACCAGCTTGTGGGTGAGCTGGTTCTCCACTTGTTTCACCAATGTTACCCATTCTTCAAACGTTTCATCCTTTGTGTGTAACATCATTACCCAAGTGTACCTAGAATAATCATCAACCATAACACAGACATATCTATGACCTCTTCGACTTTGTACTCTCATGGGACCACACAAATCAATGTGTACAAGTTCGAAGGGTCTGCTGGTACTCAAAACAGTTTTAGACTTAAAAGAAATTTTGACCTGTTTCCCCCTTACACATTCAGAACAAACTTTATCAGCTTCATACTTAATGTTAGGAAGGCCTACAACTAAGTCACGTGTTTTAAGTTTGTTTAGAAGTGTTAGGCTAGCATGTCCAAACCTCTTATGCCAAATCCATTGATTATTGTCAGAAACAGCTCTCAAACAGATGGACTTGTCTTGAGGGATTTTATCTAAGAAGGTGATGTAAACATCATGCTTCCTGGTTCCCTCACATACAAGTTCTCCTGTTTGTGAGTTAACTATGTGACATAGGTTGGCTTGAAACTCAACTATATTACCTTTGTCACATAATTGAGAAATACTCAAGAGATTATGTTGCAAGCCTTCAACATAATAAACATCATCTATTGCGTTAGAAAGTGTCTTACCAACCTTACCTAAACCAGTGATGGTTCCCTTGCTGTTATCCCCAAAGGTGACACTTCCTCCATCAAAGGCCACTAGTGAAAGGAATTGATCTTTATCCCCGGACATGTGTCTTGAGCAACCACTGTCCAAATACCAATAGGTGTCTCCCTTCACTCTAGCCTGCAAGAGCAAATCAAACATTAGTTTTAGGAACCCAAACATACTTGGGTCCCTTTTCAACAACATTAACATCTTGTTGATCCTTTCTTCTCCACACATATTTTACACCCTTGCTGTTCTTATTAGCACTAATTTTCTTAGCTGGACATTCATGTATCTTATGTCCATTTTTACCACAATGAAAACACACATGCATCTCTTTAGTCATGACATACTTGCCTCGTTGATATTCTTTGATCCAGGTGGTTTCTCTGGGAGACCAGTTAGTCCTGGTTCTCTGTCTAGTATAACCAAGACCAACTTTTCCTCTGTTTCCTCTTGATGAAGTCAGGTAATTTAAGGATTCTTGAGCATTCAATAATTTGTCCACATGTCTATGACTATCATTAAGTTCTTTTTCTCTGGTTTCAAGTGTTTTAGTTAACAATTCGTTTTTCTCTTTAAGAAAATCAAAGTTACTTTTTAAAGCTTCGAATTGTAGATTAAGCTTTGAAACCATAGAGTCAATAGACATGTCAACAACCACTGGTTGCTTGTCCTTTTTCAGTTGATTGATTTCCGCATGCAAATCACAAATATTACTTTCATACTTATCAATCGTATTACTGACATCTACACTGGTACCTGTAGGTGAAACAATGAACTGTGCAGCTTTAAGTGAAGCAATTTCCTTGTGAGAGTTTTCCAGGTTGTAAGCCAATGTTTCAAAGGCCTTCAACAAGGAAGTTCTAGTACACGAATTTGCTTTACTTATAGCTACTGAAAAATCAAGAGTATCACTAGTGGTTGATAAGTCTCTAGGGAACCAGGAGGTCAGATCCTCTTCACCATCAATTGGTTCAAACGATCTTTCCTTTTCTAGTTCCACTTTACACTTGTCCAATTCAACCTCTAGTTCTGCTACTTGATTTTTTAGTTCATAACAGACTCCTTCTAGATGATCACAACTAGCAATAGCAATATTACATTCACCACGTTTTTCTTTTAATTCTCTTTTGCAAGTTATGTATGTTTCACTTAGTTTATAGCATTCATCTAGTAAGGAATCAATACAAGCAAGCATATTTTCTCTATCATATTCATGCATATCTTCTCTAATTTGCTCTAAGCTTACCTTGCGTTCATGTAGTACATCCTTCTTTGCCATAAAGCATTTGTTGAATGTACTGGTTCCCCCTCTGGTTCCTGGACCAGTGCTGTTTTCCTTGATGTTTGTAAAGGCAGTTAGGCAAACATCTGAGTTGGGTGATCCTTCTTCTTCATCTGACCCTGAGTCAGAGTCTCCCCACATGGAAGCTATCATGGCATTCTTGTATGCTTGTTTATCTCCGGATTTAGACTGTTTGTCATTCCACTTAGGACAATCTCGAATAAGATGTCCTTTTTCTCCACACTTGAAACATCCTGTAGAAGAAGAATTAGAGTTAGATTTTTTATAGTTTTTAAAATGCTTACCTTTGAAATTCTTTCTTTGATCTCGAAGAGATCTCTCAAATCTTTTTGCAATCATGCTAATTTCATCTTCATCATCTTCTACTGTTCCCTTAAGCGCCATGCCTCTTGCTGGTTCCTTCTCAGACTTAGAGTCAATCAGCATCTCATGAGTCATAAGGGAACCAATCAGCTGTTCCAGAGACAAGGTAGACAGATCCTTTGCTTCGTATACTGCTGTTACCTTAGCTGTCCATGCATCTGTTAAACTACGCAATAATTTTCTCACAAGATCCTCGTCAGATAAATTTTTACCAAGAGATCTAAGATCATTTACAATAGTCATAAACCTACGAAAGCAATCATTGATTTTTTCATTTTTATTCATGGCAAACAATTCATATTTAGACATGATTAAATCAATTTTAGACCGTTTTACCTCACTGGTTCCCTCAAACGCAAGTTCAAGGGTGTCCCATATCTCCTTAGCACTACTGCAGCCAGATATACGATTTGTTTCGGTCTCACCTATTGCTTGTTGTAGTATTGACATTGCCTTAGCATTCTTCTCCAGCAACTTGTAATCAGCAGTGACCAATTCGCTATCTTTCTTGGGAACCTGGTTCCCCTCAACATCTGTCTTGAGAATGATATTAGGACCATTTTTAACTACGAGCCAGCATTCATAGTCAATACCCATGATAACATTCTGGATCCTGTTCTTCCACCAAGCATAATTATTTCCATTAAACTTGGGTGACTTGTTGTCATAACCGATTGCACTTAATTCTTGAGTACTCATTCTTAACTCCTCTAGATGTTACTCTTTCGAGAAGCTTAGGCTCTGATACCAATTGAAGGTTCAATGGGCACTCAAGAGGGGGGGGGGTGAATTGAGTGTTAAGTAATCGTTGGCTAATTTTGCTTCTTTTCGAATTATGGTTAAGGGACCAGTTGTGCTGGTTCCCTTATGCAGCGGAATATAAATAAGCAATAAAGAAGACAACAAATTTAACGAGGTTCAGCCAACTCAGGCCTACGTCCTCCTATCCTAAGTTCTTTATTAATCTACTCCGAAAAACAAAGACAAAGAACACTCTGCTGTTTCCCTACTCCGGGAACCAGCAAACCCCACACTATACTCCGAGTATGCTCTCAACTTACACTCGTAAGTTCTAAACGTGTTTGAACTCACAAACACTCACCCAGCCTTTAGCCTCTTTGCCAAAGACTCAATTACAAGATCAAAACTCTCTAATGATCTAACTCTCAAAAGTTAATGTAGAGAAAATATTAAACACTAGATGCTCTTGTATATGATTCAATAATGGATTTAGTGCTTTTGCTCTCAATAATGAAAAACTCCTTTTTATGCGTGTGAGAGATCTATTCAGATTATTAGCGAATAGATTGTATTTATAGTCTTAGAAAACCGAAACCCTAGTTACCATAAATCATGCCAATAAGATAAACATGATTTAGGTAAGTATTTATCTTTAATTGATTCTATTATAAGATAAAATCAACTCAAGATAATTACTCCTAGTTTTTAGGTATTTAAAGATTATATCACATCTATTTACAGCTGCCAAGATATATTTTCAAAACTGAATTTTCAATAAAAAATCTTTTTATAAAATCTTTTTAAAATCGCAGCTCTAATAACCTGATCAGTTAACCTGGTCCCCAGACCTGGTTCCCTGACTTGAACATGTTATGAAATTTGTTCCAATCCTTGTACCAAATTTCACAACGATGCTCGATATATTTAAAGCACTTTATATATCCATTAATAAACCATACTACGGAGCATTTACATGAAGATCCTAAAAAGCTCTTTCTTGATGTGGATCTTCCTTCATGTAAACTTCAAGTCTTGAAAACCTTCTTTAGATAACCTCAATTGTAACCAATGGAACTTTCTTCAATCTCTTCGAAAGTCCTATCTGCTTCAAGACTTGGAATCAACTTATATTCTGCACAATCAATAAGGTTAATGCACAATATAAAGTAAGTGACTGCTGTACCACGTAGCAACCATGGAAACAGTACATACTGGTTCCCTACCAGTACATAACACTTTTATCATATAACTGTTCCCTGTATAAAGACAAGTTAGTTCAATAAGAAAACTCATGTAAGTAATAACTTGTCTGGGGATACAGTGTTCTATGTTAGCTGGTTCCCCCAACTGTATCGAACACTTTCAAGGACCTGTTTCCCTTAGCTGTTTGTCATCATTCAAAACTATCAATCAAAACCTAAGGGACTCAACATACTTGCAACAAACTCTTTCTATCGATGATTGGGCCCATCTTCTGTTTCGTGTTTTTTTCTTTCCTATTTTTTGAAAAGGGAAGAGTGGATTAAACTTCAGAAAATAAACCAGGAAACTTGAGCAGCTAGCATTGTAGAGGACAAACTACAAAGACTTGGGGAGACACTTATTTTTTCTCAAGTCAACAAACAAAGATCGAGTTTATTTGCGTTGAATTTTCAAGGCAGTTGAGGCGTTTTTGTACTGGATGGACATCCAAGTGGTAATGAAAAGTTGCGGACTATTTTGAGATGACTATAAATACAAAAAGAAATCTACTCCCTTGATTATCATTATGTAACTTAGGACCGTTGATTTAAGTTGACTATAAAATATCCAAAAAATTACGTTGAACTGTTTTTATTTCCTTAATCATCTACCGGATGCCGAGGTCAGGGTAGAACGTAGGTGGTCGCCGCAAGGAATTGTGGGTCGCAGCAAGGTGGTTGCCTCCAAATCTCCAAGCAATCGAAAACATTTTTCTTTTCCATCCATATTAAAATAATTGCAACATTTTTTTATTTGAAAAAGTCCTACATTTATTTTCCCACCAACTCCACTTACACTATTTATTTATTATTTCTCTACTATTAACAATTAAATTTATCCCCACTAACTATACTTTATAGTCCCCACTCTCCACTCTGATCTATCAAATTCCTTAAACTTTATGTTCACTATACTATTGAATAAGGACGACGCGATGGAGTTTTGAGGTGGTGGAGGAAGGGGGGTGGGGTTTCACGGGTTAGGGGTTTGGCTAGGGTGGGTAGCGCGACGGGGGAAGGGGTGGGGGTTTGTCGGCCTCCGGCGCTCCTTCCAGTGCTGACTTCGACGGCAAGGGATGGTTGGGTTGGTGGCTGCTCGGGTTTGGTTTTTTTTTTTTTTTTTTTTTATTTTTTTTTTAAAATATTTTTGGTTTTTTTTATAATTTTTTTTAATTTTTGTTTAATAATTATTTTTTTAAAAACGGACCAATCTGAAGATGACACGTGACAAGTGGTGGGGTCAATTAATGGTCAACTAACGGCCGTCAGTCATTAATGACACTCGGTGAATTTTTTTAAAACTCGGTGACATTTAAATAATTTTGAAAAGGTTAATGGTATTTGATAAATTTTGAGATTGTTTAGGGACACTTGGTGAAATAGTCAATTATTATTTCTATGCGAGTAATACATACTCCGTTTCTTCAAGTGTAAAGCGGCAGAGATCAAAGTGGAATAAGAATGTCAGAATTAGAGATCAAACTCTCTCGATCAAATCGCATCTATCGTCCTGATGTCAGTTTCTTCTTCAAGTTCTCCATTTTTAATTCTTGTTACTTTCTCTCTTCTTACTTCACATTTTACAGGAACCACTTCAAGGTAAAATCATCACTAAGTTTTCATCTTCTGTCTCCCATTATGGCGTTCGCCTATCTGTCAATGGATCAGTCAATCTCCAGGTTTAACCCTTTTTTGTTTCCGAATTCATGATTTGTTTGAATAAATTCAGAAATCCCACCAATTTCATGACTTTTTTCATTACTTTTAGGGGGTTTAATTGGGTTTAATTGTGTTTATTATTGAAGGTTCGTGGAGGCTCAGCTGGGGTTATTGAATCTGTTGTTGGAGTTCTTAAACCCATTACCATTGTGTAAGTTTATATTTTCTCATAAATTTGTTAGTTTTGACCTTGAAATTTTCTAATTTTTTTGTTTACTTATTGATCAATGTGTTATTCTAGAATGTATCCTTCTGGGTATGAAAGATGATGAAGAATTATTTTGGAATTCGTAACAATTTAGACTCTCGCAAATTTGATATCAATAGTCAATAATACTCATTCCGTCCCAAACTAATTGCCACATTCGCCTTTTTCAGTCTTCAAGACACAATTTTGTTCATAAAGTTATTTGGTGAATTTTATCAATCTAACAAGGTCTCACGTGACTATGTTTTTACTTGTTATTCGAGAGAATTATTGGTGGAAATTTAAGCAATACATGGGATGCTCTTTGTTAATTTATTTGAATTTACAAAAAAAAGTATGCAAAAGTCTACTTTGTATGTGCAGCATATATTATGCTCTAATTTGATGTATCTTCTTATGGAAATAGGAAAAGGAGTGTTGAAATTAGACCTTCTGGGAAGATAAGCTCAGGCACTACGGAGGTATTGTCTTTATGATTTACTACATACTTCGTATTTAAACTGTTAGATGTTGAGCAAATTAGGTAGGTAATTACTGTAGTTTTCTTCATGTACAGTTGAAGAGATTTTGTGTATGTATATTATGGGTGGATGTAAAGTGGCATCAAGGAGTTTTATAGCAATGAAACCCTGAAACCATGCTAGCTATTATAATATGTGTAATGTTTTGTTTACTTCCTCTAAAATGCCATGGGTGCATCATCTGTGTTTTTGTCAGATGGAATTGGAAAACAATTCTAATTCATTCCCTTTTTAAAGTGTCTGTGTTTTTCCTTGGTTTTGCAAATGAATGATTGTATTGGCCGGACTTTGAGCTTCACTTCTCTACCAGGGAGATTTGGCCCTGTATAACCGATTGAAAATGACTGAAGTCTCTGTTCCAAAATGGTAACAATATAAGCAATTGGTTATGGTTTTGTAGTTTCTTTTTAGGCTAAAGTCGATTACTTGTCTGTTTGTGCCCCTGGACTCCTGAAAAATGAAGTCTGCGCAACTTCTTGTTTACTGATCATGTTTCACTTGTTCTGTGAGGGAACACGTCTCTTGTCAGGAGTCAAAGCGGATCTAAAGGCTGCTACTTGGGGAGCTGAGATTTGGGGGTGGGGAGGGGGGGGGGCTGAGGTGGATTAGGTTTTATCACTTGCTTGATTGCTACACTGTTACTTTGTCATGAATGTCTCAAAGCCTCAATACAGATGAAGCGACAAAAGCTTTGATCTTTTCTCCTCCAATTGAGTGTGTTATACCTTTTGTAGATCTGGTTTGTTGAATCATGTCATGAACTAATTCTTGGGTTATTTTCTCATAAAAATTAAATAGTCTTTTCCTTAACGTCACAATCGATATGTTACTTGTGCTAGCAAAGAGTGAGTGAAACGGAGCTGCCTATCAAGGATGGTGGCCCTGGTGGATTAATGAATAGACTTGAAAATAAGATGAGATAATGTGCTTTGTTTGTTTCATGATAAAAAGTTGCCTATAATATTTTTTACTTTCTAATATTATTTTTGCACATTGAACAAGATACTCGTTTTAAGGAAATTTTGAGGTTCTCAGTAAAATTTTGTGGTTCTCAGGAAATTTTGTGGTTCTCAGTAAAGTTTTTGTGTTTACTACTTTTCCTCCTGTACCGCTCATGTTACTTTTTGCACTTGACTGACCTGATAACTATCCTTCATATGACAGATTCCTTTTTCTTTGATTTTGAAACAACCAGGAGAGAGAAAATCGGGAAAATTTTACGAAACATTTCATGGGGAAGATATAAGCATCCAGGTCTGTCACTGCTGATTTTCTTGTATAGCATTTCTTGGTGTGCCAATTATCTTTGGTTTTGTCATTTGTTACTCTGATGTGATAAAGAGTGTTCTAACTAATTTGAATACTCTCTCAGTATCTGCTAACTGTAGAAGTAGCACGCGGTTACCTGCACAAGTCATTGTCAGCAACATTAGAGTTCATCATTGAAAGTGAAAAAGGTATCAGTACCCAACCTCTTGAGCTGCTGCTTTTGTTTGCTTGTTGGGGGGGGGGGTCTACACATTAGCTATACACTTAACCTGTATGTGTTCCTTATTCAGCGGAACATCTTGAGCTGCCTATTTCGCCTGAACTCGTGTTCTTCTATATCACACAGGATACCCAAAAGCACCCATTGCTTTCTGAACTAAAATCAGGTCTGATCACTCCCATGAATTTCTGTTTAAAGTTGATATCTTGAGTATTTCATTTGATTTTTAGAGAGGCGTTCTTGTTACATGACACTAGGATTCCAGTGTGCTATAGACTAGGAAATCTGATTATGGACTTGCAATAATAATAACAGATAAATAGAGGAAAGCTTGAAGGATTTTTGATTAATAAGAAGATAACGGCTACAATGAGGAAATAGCAGATCTACTACTCTTGAGGATTACTACAACTACTACTACACTACTACTAACTTCTCCGACAACATGAAACTACTGTTGCATTGCTAATCCTTTATATATCAAGCTTTCTCTCACAAAGTACTCTAAGATTAATATTTTGTCATGTACTGCCAGTGCAGCCTTCACACAGAAATACTCCTTGCCACACTCTTTAGTGGATCATTAAAACTCTTTGTCTTTTCCTCATTACACTTTATTGCTGCTGTTGATCTTGTCCTTGCTCTTTTGTTTGTGCCTCCTCTCGTATACCCAAATAGGTGGTTGCTGGTGTACTTTGACCCGTTCCATAGCACAGTGCAGTAGATTATGATGTAATGGTTTTATCTAGATACAGGGAAAGGAGTGAGAAAAGGGAATTGTATACCATAACAATAAAAGTGAATTTGTAGGATCTGCAATCTGTAGGTTTTTCTTTGAGAATCGATTGCAGCTCTAGTACGATGTTGATACTATTGTTGCTTTTCTGTAACAAACTCTTTGTTATTGCATGGTTAAGATCCATAAGACTGCATACATTTGAGCACTTCTCAGCCAACTGAGAATGGGAGCTTTGTTAGAAGCATTGAGAATGGGGATAATGTAATGTAATTTTGGGAGCTTTTGGTTTTTCTATGTTCAACTATTGCTTCCCTATAAAAAGCTAATATATTGCTTCACAGGTGGTTTTCGTGTAAGTGGTAGAATTCCAACTCAGTGCTCATTGTCATGTGCCCTCAGGGGAGAACTGACTGTAGAAGCATCTGCATTGCCAATCCAGTCCATTGATATCCACTTGCTACGTGTGGAATCCATTCTTGTCGGAGATAGGATTGCATCAGAAACATCTTTGATTCAAACTACTCAGGTTGGTCTTTTGAACTGGCCTTGTGACTAAAGTAGTTCTCTTGAATTGAATCTACTTGTTCTTCTCCTTCTAGTAGATAGCAGATGGAGATATCTCTCGAGGCCTGACTCTACCCATTTACGTCTTACTTCCAAGGCTTTTAACATGTCCCAGTGTCTTAGCTGGGTATGTTTCTTTCATTTGTATATGTTTGACAAGGTTTCTTTTTTTTTTTTGGCTGTCATGTCACTTGTAGCATGCTGCTACTGTTGAATATTCTGCATTTATTCTTTTGAATAGTGCTAGTGGTGATCACATACATGAAGTGCTTGACAGATGAAAAGATATGCACACCCTTTTCATAGGCTAAATATAGGTAAACTAATTATGAAATCTGCTGTTGAATATTCTTGAATTGATCATTAAAATGGATAGGTAACTGGAGCAATTTTAGGAGTGGCATCTTGTCTTAATTCTTTAAGTGAATTCTCAATAAGCATTAGAGCTTAGTTTCAGTAATTCAGTTAGTTGCTACTCCATATTATGTTTTGCTAGTTCTAATAGATTACTTGGACAGCCTTCAGGATTACCTGTTACCAAAAAATTTAGGTAAAATATTTTTAAACTAACAGTAAGCCCTCTTTTGATGAACTAATTTATTTTATAAAGTTGAGCACAATTTTAATTAACTAGCTTGGATTCATGAAGACTGGGAGCTTGATTAAGTTACTTTAGGTTCACTTCCTCAGCAAAGATCCTAGTAAAGTCTTTAAATATGTGTATGTATAAATTGTATATAATCTAGGATAAATGGACACGAGGATCAGCCACTTTTAGGATGTCTCCCATTCTTTTCATAGCTCAGCCCCCTAATTTCTGCATTATCGTATATGATAATATAGCTGACACTATCATTCTTGCTCTCAAAACTGCATATATGTTATGCTCTTTGCAGATGGGTTGACTGTTGTTTGAGGTCTGCCACCACTGGTGTTTGTTGTTTAAGAGGTTTAAAATGACACTCTAAGCTGATATTGTTAGAACTGTGATGAACAGCAGTTTGCTTAATTTTAACGAGTGCCTGGTGATCATGGGTTGACTCTTTCAAGTTGCCTCCTCAAGAAATAGGAATGGTTTTTGTGTGCTTATTGGGAAAGTCTTGCACTGGCTAGCTGGTAGCTGGCCCTTTTTAGGCTGTTAACATAAGGTGGGAAAAGCTTTACAAATAATTGTCTGCCTTTCTTTAATACGCATGACCAAACTCGAACTCCTTTTCTGTTTCTAATCGGACCATGGAGCTGAGTTCGGATGTGCAGAAACTATTGTTCTAGGCTTTTTTTGGTTGTGCAAACTCGCTCAATTTTCGATTCCCACATGGTTTTCTCCCTCTGCACATCTTGAATTTTGAGCTGTATGCATGGCTATGACTTCACTTTAAAATACCTATCTTATTAGCACCTTGTTATCAATTTGAGTGGTGATACTTAATTAAGCTAAGAGCCTTTTGATGCACATGAGTTTCTCTGCTATGCTGTAATGTGTAAATAATAAACAGAGCTCTTTGTTGTTGATCTCTAGTTTCTTCTTGTTCATTCCTCAATATTTTCACTTTTGCCTCCTTTATGTATCCCCATTATCAAAATCATGTCGTAGACCAAGGAAGAACTATGTACTCACCTTCATGTTAGCATGTTGTTAGACTCCTCATTTAGCTGTCGAAATAGAGAATAATTCTTGTATCTGACGACTTTGCAGTCCATTCTCAATTGAGTTCAAGGTCTCCATTGTCATCAACTTTCAGTCAGAGCTTAGCAAACTGCACCCCAAATCTGATCCCAGAACGCCAAGACTATGGGTAACTTTGTACATTACAGCTATCCCCATGATATACAACCCTTTACCTGCATATCACTACGACACTACTACTGTTTTTCCTAATGTACTCAAATGTGCAGCTTGCAATGGAAACATTGCCACTTGAACTAGTTCGGACCAGGTGAAATTCATGAGGTCATGATTGATTGGCAACTCACCTTTTCTCACTCTGCACTTCTAGGAATGCCGTGAAAGATGGTCGGTAAATCAGGAAAATTATTGTGTTAATTAATCAGTAGTATCCATGTTCAGAATTATGCTGTATCTACTTCATTTGGCAGTCACTGGCCAGATAGATCATAGATGGAAATTGAAAGAAATTCTATTTGTAGGATTTTTCTGTATTGAATTTGAGAGCTCAAAAATGTTGGCGTTGTGTATATTGACCAGGAACATGCTGTTGGATTCTTTGTATTATTTGATACACTACCCAAGGAACATGATGAATTGATGAGTAGTGAAGTGCTCATATGCTTATTTCGATTATTGATTGATTATTATACATTTATATCAATGCACAACGATTTTTCATAAAGTTTATGGCGCCATAATTTCATGAAAAATAGTAACTCCTAAGCGATTTAGTTTCTGAAGATATTCCTAAAGCACTCAGACTATTTTCTTCTTGTAATCTAGATTGAAGCTTTTTTCGGGTGACATTCTTTAAAAAAAATGAAATGAACAAAGCTTAATTAGTACACCGTACTTCCTCCGTTCTAGTAATATTGTAACAACTAGACTTTTGTACTATTCGTAATGTAGGGTCTTGTTATATTTGTCTCGTAAAATATACAACGTCAAATTTTTTTTTAATAATTTTTACTCTTATATAATTATAAATATTTAACATATAAAATGTGCTTTGGGATGCGTATTTTCATCCATTTTGCAATATTTGTGAAATAGAGAAAGTATAATAGAACAGAGGAAGTATAACACAATATATTACCAACGCGACCGCCATATTATTAGAGTTCCTAATGGACTCTTAACATTAGTGGCCTAGACAACTTTTATAATGAATTGTACTCCTTAATTTGATTGTTAGTGAAGGTTGATGAAAATTTACAATGAGTTTTTTTTTTTTTTTTTGACAAATAATTGTTTTTGGTTAATATACGATTTCAGTTTTTAAATAGTTCAATGTAATAGTTCAATATAGAATTTCAATTTGCAACCACCATTAACATTAACCAAAAACATGTTTCCTAAAATACGTCAACTAAGTTTAAATGAAAAACTAAAATCGTATTACATTAAACTATTAAAATAGCATGTTTCCTAGCTAAAATAAAAATACTCGTAGATATTTTGGATTATTTTTAAAACGAACTACAAGACCTAATAACAAGACTACGTATCCTACAAGTAACACAATTCCTATCTTATCTAGACATAGACTTTACTTTCCTAAGATAAGTAAATAATCAAGATAATTTTTTTATGAAAAAATAGCTATATATATCAGAATTACCATGCGTTTTCTTCCAATTTTCAATTCTTCCTCATACACTACCTCAAAATATTCTAACGTTGAATATTGCCGTGCCTCTCAAAACCTTCACGAGTACCCTAATTCTCTTGAATCTTAATCTCTCATGGCTTCTTCGACCGAACGTTACAACATCATCTACCTCGCTAAGCTAGCCAGCCAAGCCGAACGCTATGATGGTACATATGTTCTAACTCGTCACTTTCAATTCTTTCACATAGGAGTTTCAGCAATACTCCGTATTACACTACTTACGTTTTTTGACTAGTTTTTATGATTTTAAAGTGTATGTTAAGAAAAATAATATTATTTATTTATTATGGTTAATCTTGTTAATATACATCAATTAAAACTTTATATGAATTATATCACTCTACGTACTAAACAATACTTATTGTTCTAGGATATTTAATTATTTATGATACAGTGATATACAACTACTGTTAAATATTAAATATTATTATTATTATTATTATTATTATTATTATTATTAAATATTATTTGCAGATATGATCGATGCAATAAAGAAGTTGGTAAAATTTAACTTCGAATTAACAGCCGAAGAGCGTAATCTCCTTTCAACAGCATACAAGAAGGTTATCGAGCCAAAGAGAGAATCATGGAAACTTCTCTCAACAACTGAGCAGAAGGAGGATACAATATACAAAAACGAGTTGTACATGAAGTGTATTCAAGATTATCGTAATATAGTCCAGTCGGATCTTGTTAACATTTGCTACGACGTTATAACTCTAATTGATGACCACCTCCTTCCTTTCGTGTCTGGCACTGAATCCTCCGTCTTTTACTTAAAGATGTGAGTATATTTTTGAAGTAATTTGCATATTATTATTAGTGATACTTAATTAAGTCTTTTAGCAACGTAATTGATTTATTGGTTATTATTATTTTTTATTCTTTAAGTAAAGAGTTGGTTGGTTTAATTAACAACGAGCTACGTGACGCAGGAAAGCGGATTATTACCGATATATGGCCGAAATCAAAACTGGTGATGCAAAATCATTAGTCGCTGAAGAGTCGTTGAGAACATATAAGGTATATATTAGCATCGTAAAATATATAGTTTAATTATTATTATTATTTTATAGTTTCTCAAAAAATAATTATTTTATGTTGTTAAACTTTTCAAAAATTATATTTGCATCGTAGATATTAGAAGACTAATTATGTCCATTTAATAATGTGAAAAGCTAAAACCGATCATATTTTTTATCATTAAAATAATATGATAGTCATATTTCAAACGACTATTATAGAATTATCCTTGGTTAATATTTTTTTTTTTTTTTTTATATCATTCGATTTTCTTTTTCGTTTTACAAGTGAATAATTTCAATTAAATTTTGTTGTAGGAAGCAATGACCATAGCAGTGGCTCAATTTTCACCTATTCATTCAACACGCTTAGGCTTGGCATTAAATTTTGCAGTATTTTACTATGAGGTTTCAAATTCTTATCAAAGGTACTTACATAATAAATTCATAATCTTACAATTTCTCTATGAGCATGTTTGTTATAAAATCTTATAATTGCATTGTTACTTATACATATTTTTTTTTTTATTTTAGGGCATATCGCTTGGCGAAGGAAGCTTTTGTAAACGCTATGTTAGAGTTGGATAATTTAGGCAGAAGGGCTCTCTCGAAAGATAGCAAGGTTATCCTGAATCTTTTGAGGGATAACCTTTTACTATGGGAGGGCGAGAATGATAAAAGAAACCTTTGAAGCATTCATGAACATTTGAATTTTTTTTTGTTCTTTTTTTTTTGAGAACTGAAACATTTATTTTGTATTAAAATAGCTTGAGAATATTATTTGAAATATTTCTAATTTTATTTTATGTATTTACATAAAGAAAAGTGTCATTATCAATTGATATATTAAAAGTTAAGAATGGATTGTTTTTCCTTCAAAAGAGAATGGATTGTTTTAATGACTAGGTATTTATTAAAAAGATTAATCTAGAAAAATCTAGGAAGTAATTATATGTTTTTTTCAAAATAAATAAATAAATTAAATTTTAGGATTTCTAATGTATGGGCGTGTTTGGCAAAAATGTAGCGGTTAGTTGTTAGACTAGTTGTTAGCTGTATGTGTAGCTATTAGCTGTCAACTAGCTGTTAGTTGTGAAAAAAAAAAAAAATTAAGCATGAGTGTTTGGAAATTAGTTGTTGACTAGCTACTACTCCGTAGCCGTGAAATTCTAAAGTATAGAAGAAAAATTTCAACAATTACCTAGCTTTTCACAAAAGCTAATTATATTAACTTTTTACAAAAGCTACTCCAACCACTAAACTCTACTCCCATCACTACATTGCCAAACACCAATATTTTTTTACTAATTAATGGTTTGAATAAGTCAAACCACTAAAAGTCACTCAAAAGCTAATGTCGAACATGCCCATAAATTTATGTACAAAAATATAAATATCTTAAAATGGTCTATTACTAAAGTTGGAAGAATGACTACTATTTGGTAGTGATTTCATACTTAGTCATTTACTCATTTGTTGATTAATAAAGTATTGTTTTGTTATACTTGAATTCAATATTAAGCCCTTCTAAGACTCAAACTGTCATTTTACTTAACGTTTTCAATATCTCTCTCTCTATGTGTGTGAAACGATCAATTTCGGAGTGCTACTCCATAGTCCATAGTTCCATACCATACTCGGGATATTTGACTTTTGACTAGTTTGAGTTCAGAAATAAGGGTTCGTTTGGGTGCAGAACTGCTTACACAACACATTCTTTTCGTCATTTCAAAATTCACACCCAAGTCAAAATTCATTCAACGCCTAAACATGGAAAAATTGAAGAGAATAGTGAGTGAAATTGCTTATTCCCATGATTTTTCCAAACTCCCTCTACTTCATCGCTCCTTTATCCCTCTCCTTTCCATGCTTTCTTCTCTCTATAATCTCTCTGTTACTACCCGCCATCATCTTTATTTTCTGGGTATCTTCCGCAAGAAACGGTAAAATTTTCTATCTTTTGGGTAAATTTTCAATTTATTTTCTGTAATTTCAACTTTAATATCAATAATATCAAATGGGTATATTGAGTATTTGATTAATTGATTATGTCTGTTGTTTAATTTTGATTTTGAATGTAAATTTGAAGGTTGCCAGTGCCAGTAATCAGTGTTGGGAATTTGACATGGGGTGGAAATGGGAAGACTCCAATGGTTGAGTTTCTCTGTCATTGGTTTTCTAATTCTGGGATTTCTCCTCTCATTCTTTCCAGGGTAATATCTTACTTTAATCTATTTTTTTTTTCTTTGAATCCTATTTTCCTATTGAATTGAATATTGCATTACTGTTATGAGCTATGTTACTTGGACTCTGGGTGCTCGTTTGAGGCATGGGTACGTGTTCAAGTGTCTAATTCAGTTATTTAGCGAAGTTTTCCTTGATTTTAGTCCAAACTGGTATGTCAAGTGTTTAGACCCATGCGAGAGAGTGTCATTGTGTCAAGGATTCGACATAGGTACTTAGGTGAATTGAAGAGCCTAAGTGACATTAGGCTGTGGGACTGGTGGAAAATCATAGGACCTTATAAATTATTATTCTTGGACCTTATAGATTGATTGGAAAATTAATTTAAGAGAGAACTTTACCATGTATTATCTGTATGTATTTGATTAGTTGCAAAATTTTGATGATAACTAATTTGGGGATTGTATATTAGAATGTATAATTGAGAATAAATCAAAAACCGTAGAAAGATATTCTGTTCTTCTCAGCTGACATGCTTCAGCTTCGAGAAGAAAGTGAAACAGTTTTGTTTTGAAATACAATGATGAGTAGGATTAGATTAAGATGCTACATCATCACCCTATATATTAATCACCATAATGGCTGTAATAAAACTCTGAACAAACTTGCTGAATTGTAGCTTTCTCTAGCAAAATCTGGCTGCATTATGAATGTTGTGCACACAATACAAAGTTCACTTTGGACCCTATCTTGAATATAAATATTGTGCACAGTATATAAAGTTGGCTTGCCATATTTTGATATACCTACTTGTATGAGAATGGTATACGAGTACATTGATCTTCCTGAAGGCGCTTAGCCATATGAGCTAACTATTTGAGTCAGTTATGCATGCTTGGTAGTAATATATTGAAACGAGATTCTGTTTTAACTTTACCAGGAATCCTTACCCTTGCATAAATTTTTGGAAACAGGGCTATGCTGGAGGGGATGAAGTTAAAATGCTTGAAAGGCATCTTTTGGGGACATCTGCAAAGGTTGGCGTTGGTGCAAATAGAGCTTTGTCTGCTACTTTGTTTCTTGAAAAATATGGCTACACAGATTCTCGTGTTAATGGTTTCTTTGACAATTTACTCTTGGTGAACAAAGTTGGTACTGATGTCCCTTCAGACAAAATTGGTGTTACTATTCTTGATGATGGAATGCAGGTTCTTGTTGTTCTAATTATGCTAATTTTTTTCTGCATATGCCTGTGTACCTTCACTTTTGCTTTACACAATCTTCCAATATTTTTTGAATAATGGTTTTTATGCAATGGAACTTCATATTTCTTCTTTTATTTACCTTGTAATTTAATTTGACTATGCATGGCAGACAGCATGTGTGCTTAGTACGTGACTTGGATATTGTAATGGTAAATGGAATGATGCCATGGGGGAATAATGAATTGATTCCCCTTGGACCTTTGCGGGAACCATTGTCTTCCCTGGCTAGAGCAGATATTGTTGTGATCCATCATGCTGATCTGGTATGTCAGATCAACCTTCCAATTCTATACATTCATCAGTGTTTTCACTCCATCTAATTGTCATTTAATATGCCAATTGTCTGCACATTGAAGAAGTATGCCATAATATGCAGGTTTCAGAGCAAAAGCTTATTCATCTGAAACTTGGGATTCAAGAGATTAAAAAATCTCTACCTGTTTTCTTCAGTAGTATGGTTCCCTCGCACTTCTTCACTGTTTACAATGTTGGCACTAGATTACCATTGTCGGCAGTTAAAAACCGGGTATTACTGTGCCTCTCTGCTATTGGTTCTCCAAATGGTTTCGTCAAGTGTGTTGAGAAGGTATCACCTTTTCCATTTCAAGTGTCCACCCATGCTTTAAGTTTATGAATTAGCCTTTTGATTTTCTTGTTCCATTTTACACTGCCCTTGTTTTCCTGCTCCCTATGTTTTCTCTTGTTTTCTTCTGCTTATACTTTGTCACTTTTCTTTGTTTAGTTTCTTTTACTTATCCCTTTACTTTTCCAGTTTCACTTTTCTCGGATAGTAGACGATCCATGTTAGCCAACCCCAAATCATTATGGGATCAAAGCTTTGATTTTGTTGTTTCCTTATAAATGTCGTTCTTTCCACTCCATACCTTCCCCATATCTTTCCCCCATATCTTGATTATAACTGTATTATGACTTTTATTGCTGCAGCTTGGACCATCACATGTTGATCAGCTTCACTACAGTGATCATTACTTGTTTCATTCCAAGGTGCAGTTTCTTTTATATTTATCAGTTATCTGCTGGGGCAATAGTATTAAATTTTTAGGTTTGCATGTAGGCTTGCACAACCCTTTTTCATCATGACATTGTTTTATTTCCTCTTTTTATGTGCATTTTGTCTGCCTCGAGGTCTAATTAATTGTATTAGTATCCTCCAATATGTACAGGATATCTATGTGATGACAAGGAGACTTCGGGAGCTCTATCACAAATTTGGTTCCAGACCTATTGTTGTCACAACTGAAAAGGTGAGTGTGCTGTTGGCAGTGCCTGTAGCTTTATGAGACAAACATGAAGACATTCATTTCTTGGATTTGGATTGATTTATGCTGTTTCTGTAAAAAATTTGGTCGGTTTTACTACTTACTCCAGTGAAAAATAGGTGTTGTTTTAGGCTATTTTTCTTTAGTGAACATAACTGCTGTTTGAATTTATATATTTTACCTTTTAAAATCTCAAATTGAGATCATCAAAAGATCTGTATAGATGTACTTCGTATATAATATTCCGTAATAAGGGCATATTTGATATCAATTGCAGGAACTATCTCCATTTTATATTTTTTCAATCCACATTTTTTATGAGAATAGACACCTAAAATGACCAAGTTTATATAGCTTGTACAAGTACATCTTACAATACTATTTGGCATGAATGCTCTATACCCAACTAACCCAAGTATATTTCCCTTTGCTGTATGCATTAAGCCATTAGAATCTGAAATAGTCTTATGTTGCATATCTGACTCGATTGAGCTGTTTGTATGGACATTACTATGACACATATCTGAGACTTATCTTTCTTAATTGTTTGCATAAACAATAGAGCTATGAATCCATGCAATTCTGACCTGATTGAGCTGCTTTTCTGGCTTTTCTGTTTAAGCAGGACTATGACCGGGATTCTGAAATTCTCTCACAGTTACATCCGTTCGATGTTCTTGTACTCTGTTCTCAGCTACAATTGTTCTCTTATAATGGAAGCTCGGAGAACAAATTCAAGGAGCTAATAAAGCAACTCTTGGATTCAAGATCAGGGAAACATAAAAGAAGTGGATAACAAAGAACTTTGTTATTCAATGACGGCCTGAGCTATATTTAGAAGTATAGAGGCATTAGATGGAACTGGTATAATCCGTTTAACTTCATGCCCTCCCCTCTCTACTCTTAATATACGGAGTTCACATTATCTTTCTTTCTTTTAAGTACAATACTGAAGCCTTAATCCCTTAAGGATGGGGTCAGCATTTTGAGCACATTTTTGAATATATCAAGGAATGTTCGGAAGTTTTTATAATGATAAAATTTTCTCAATACTTTGAGTATTAATTTGTCAATATTCTTGTGGGACTACACACAAATGCGATAATTTTTCAATTACCTCTGATTGTAAATCTTGCTTTTCTTCAATTACATTGATTGTTAAAATGACATTCATTGTTAATCAAGCTGAAATACACCATTCTAAAAAATTACAATCAAAACTGCATGGTATTCTACAAAACACTTTTTTTTTTGTTTTTGTTTTTGTTTTTGCTATAGATCAGATGTTGTATATCTAGCCTTTCTCCATGTTTTTGTTGCAAGTAAATGCATCAATATGATGCCAAAATCATCATGCATTTATTACTGAGCATCGGGGATACAACTTCTTCAACCTAAGCAGAGCCAAAATACGGCAAATCATTGGTGGGTTGACACAGGTTGGTTTTTGTGTTCCTGTTGCATGACTTACAGATGATTGAATGTTCGGATTTTCCTTATCGTCATTGCAGCTACGTATCTCAGGTATCTCAGGTTGAGCTATTTCTTTTTTTGCAGAATCTTTAATCTCCGGTTGATTGCTCGTTGGCTTCACAGAACCTTTTCTCTCCATCGGCTTGCAAACTTCACCATCACACTCAATATCCTTTTCCGGGTGGATCGCGGTTTCCTGTTTTGACGTAAAGCCAAAGAGACTCAGAAATGCAGGCATATTTCTTTCCTCTTTGTTTATTTTCACATTCTCCCCGTGATGATTGCAGGTTAGTAATTCACTTGTCCAATAATTAATTTGAAAGATATTAAATATGTTACCAATGATTATTCAAGGGGACAATTCTTTTGTTTTCAATTGTTTTGAGATGAGAATAATAATCTCCCCTATGATTAATTTGAATGATATTGAAGATTTTACCAATGTTTATTCAAGGGGACAATCTTTTGTTATCAATAGTTTTGAGATGAGAACAATAATCTCCCCTAATCCCGGAGGATTAATTATCCTCGTAAGACATAGTCACCAATTTGCATTATAATTTTAGATTAAATTTCCTGTTGCCCTGAATATATTTATGTGGTTGTTTTCACCTTTGAGTTTTTATATAGCTTAAAGTTGGATTATTTCTCCACGTTACTAGGAATACATATGTACATAGCTGTGAGCTGTACATCTGATCTTCCTTTTATTTTGGGCAAGGAGAAGGCCATCATAAAAGGGGAAGGCCATCATAGAAGGGAAAGTGGCATTTTTGGGAAATCCTTCCTAAAACGAGTTTGGTAATGATATTAGGCCCTTGGCTTCACGTGGTCACGCTTGTAGTGAAAAGCTAGCCAACTACTCTGTCTTCCTATCTTGAGTTATAAATCCTCCAAAAATCAGTGTAATTTGTTTGCTATAGTTGAAATTACCAGCTTATTAGTTCACCAACTTCCAACCATAAGCCCACCTACCATTAAGGCAACAAGCTCAAATTATTCTATATATTTGCCTGTTAATTATTTTTTGTTTTGGTGACACGAGGGGCAAGCCCCAAAAGCAAGAAGCCTGTTAATTAATTATACTCTTAATTTTCTTAAATGAAATGTTCGTGTGTTAATCATAAATACTCTCTTTATTTAAATTTCCCCCATTTTTGTCTATATTTCTATACATTAGTCTATTTAGTCAATGCCTGTAACCTTAAGCAAAGAACATGAAATCTAAACATAGTACAAGAATTGAAGGTCAATTAAGAACGCAAGGCTGGGTACTAAGCTCAATTTATAACTAAAATAAGTTCTAATAAGTTTAGATTAGAAAAAATTAGATTAATAAATTGCACCCGTATTAAGGATCCATATTGGGAGTCAATATTATATTCAATTAAGAATTAGTTGTGACCTAAACCTTATTGACATTTATCCATCATCATGTTAATATTTTCCTTGAATTAACTAATTTTAGATTTGTGAAAGCTAACAATATTATCTCTGGATCATTTAGAAGATGATGATGTGCAATGACAAAATACCTTGACAATGAATTTTTCTGGTGCATAGAATTTTTTTTATTGAAGAAGAATAGTTAAGAACATTTACATGAGACATTTTAATTAAAATTACACATAAATTCATTACCATTATTCCGTTAATCTATGATCAACTGTCTACACTCTACACAACTGACCCGTGTATTCAACTCTAGAGTGACCAACTATTCATGTGATGAAGGGCCTTTCTTGTTAGCTTGAGTGAAGAGAAACAAACAGCTGATTGCTCGATCAACCTTTCCTTGTTGAAAGAAAACCAAGTGAAAAGAGAGGGCTAAGCTTATCCTTCTTCTCGAAACTCCGTCTCTCACTCAATGTACAAACATCGCCATTACATACATACTTTTTCGAGCTCGCTGGCTCAGTGAAACAACTGAAGAAATTGAAGAACGAAGCCATGAGTTTGTAACTTGGCTTTTCCTGTGTTTATCTTGTTTGTTGTATGTTTTGCATGTGAATGAAATTCATATGATTTTATAGCATACATAATTTGACCGTGTTTTTGCGGTTTGTTAGCGTTAAACTAGTCAAGTTGTTTCACGTGGAATTTATTAAAAACAAAAAAGAAGTTGCAGTCAATGTAAAATGGCCCTACTTTAGCTGGCTGTTTTATTTTTTTTGTGTTTATACAAATAGCCACGACAAGTTGTTCATAGTATTCAATTTAAGTAGTTCATATTTTGGTACACAAATTCTTATATGTAGCTGGTCAAACCGTGTGGCCAACTATAACAGGGGTTACTTCGTTAGTGTTATAGGGGTTACTTGGTCAATGTTACAGAGGTTACTTCGTCAGTATTATAAAGATTAATCGGTTAGTGTTATAGAGGTTACTTGGTCAGTGTTACAGAGGTTACTTCGTCAGTATTATAAGGATTAATCCGTTAGTGTTATAGGGGTTAATTTGTTATTTTACAACCGGCTACATAGTGTTGCCAGCCGTACACAAGACGGATTGTGATTTGGTATGTATGTGGTGATGACAGTGTGATAGGGATTTGGATATTCTTGGGTAGGGTCTTTGATATAAATTTGTTTTCACATTAAACATATCAAAGTAAAATCAAAATTATACTATAATTTGTCAATTTTGTTAAATTGAATGGTGCAATATTGTTGATTTTTATTTAGTAATTCCATCATAGCTTTCCAAATCAATTAATCATCAAGACCGTTAACGTATTACACACATTTTGCACAAAAATATCCATGCCATCATAATTATAAATGAATATAAAAAGGTTTGCGAAGACTTGATTATGTGTTTTCTCATTTGCGAAAAAGATTAAATATGAAGTATTAGAAGGTTTGTAAAGTTTAGTCAATTTCGTTACATATGAATTGTGGGAAGTTCTTTATATTTATATAATAATCCCATCATGGCTTACCCAATCATTAAGACCGATAACATATTGCACATACTTTGCACAAAAACACTCATACCATAATTAATTATTATAAGAAGGTTTACAAAAACTTGATTTTGAGCTCTTGTTTTCTAATTCATGAACAAAATATTATATATTGGATGGTTTGTAAAGATAACAAATAGTTATGCTTACGTCTTACAAGCCATCAAATTGACCAGACATAACTCAAGTGCTAATTGTCCTCATCAATTGATGTGCTTTTCCAACTAAAAACGAGGCTCATGCATAGTCCACGACCCAAAAAAACGTATGTGTCCCGAGCCGTGTCTACCTCGTGCCTTTGCCTTGTCGTGTTTAAAGGTGTTACATCTGAAAAAAAACCAAATTTAAATTTTGATTTGTATGAACACAATAACTTAGTATGACTCAAATTTAAAATAGACCCGACTATCCAACCTGACCTAATTAAACCTCACTCACATACCCGAATTAACACCCTTACTCGCGCTCTATCTCGTCGATGTCAGTAATGTAGGTTGGTCTAGCCCAGTCCTATCTTCCAGGTTTGTGTGATTTTACCAATTTGAAAATTCTACTAGTAAAAGAATAGATGGGCCTAGATTCATGATCCATGAACTTCAATCAATCAATTCCTTTCCAAAAGAATATTCTTGAATAATCCTCTGTTCTTCTTTTTACACAACCTTCCATGGCAGAATCTAAGCAACCCAGTAAACAATTCAAAATAATTTACTCCAATTTTAACTTACATCAACTGTTCTAAAAGATAGAGAAAGGAACATGGCAATGTCATTAACTTCCTTTTTGTGATCTATTCCCCCAATATCTTCCTCCCATAATTTAAAACTCAAAGGTAATGTTTTTATTTTTTCAAACTTCTTTCCAATTTCAATAATTTCCCATTTAATTTGCAAAATTTCATCAAATTATTATAATATGGTACATTTCCAATCATATTAGGAGCTCAATTGGTGAATATATTTCAGCCCATAGATTTTCCAATTGTACAATCAAAGGCTATCATTTCTTACCCAGTCCAAGCAGCTTCTTTTTCTGCAACTCATGGTAATTTCTATTAATGTAATTTTTCACATTATCTCCCATTTTACTATTAATGCTTCTTATAATTAATTTCAATTTTTAATTCTTTTGTGGGTATTTCTTTATATTTTTAAGGGTGGCAGAAAGTGTAAATTGTAATTTAATTGAGGTGGAAGAGGATTATGAAGAATTGGCAAGAAAATTGGAAAATGCCTCCCCTCTTAAAATTATGGATAAAGCCCTTGAGAAATTTGGTAATGATATTGCCATTGCTTTCAGGTATTTTGCTTGATGTCAATGACCGCATTTATTTACCAATGAGTGTAATTTTATTGTTGATTTAGCAACTATATATGACTATATGCTACTAAGACTTTGGTTAGTTGGGTACTTTTGTCGGATATGGGTACATGTCGAGTTGTGCTGGTATAATATCTAGTGAAACATTTTGGTCCAAAAATGAAATGCTGATTTGTATAGGATATGAAAATACTTGAATGTTGAATGGTAATGATGTGTACTAATAACATAGTTATTCAGTTGATTCAATAATTAAGTTTGGCTTAGTAGTCTATTAATGGTTTTCTAATATAGTGATTTTTGGTAAGTTGGTAGGAACTAAATCTCAAAATAATTAACATCTTACTTGGCGAGTAATTTCTCATTAAGAGAGGTAGTAATTTCTTGAGCCAATTTTTTTGTGTTTAGGATCTGAAACTATGTGAATAACTGAATACAGCTGATGATCAAATGAAAATGAGGAACTAGAGCTGGCAACTAGGATTGTGTGACATTTGCAGTGTGTTCACAGTCCTGTATTAAGAAAGTTTGCTTACTTCATTAAAGATCTTGCTTGTTGCTACACTGATTATTTGCGAGAATAATAAGTGCAAAGTAATTAATTAACCATAAGAAATGTGGTTTTGATGCTAATGGGGATAAAATTTGCTGACTATTATGCAGTGGAGCTGAGGATGTAGCCTTGATTGAGTATGCTCGGCTAACTGGCCGACCCTTTCGGGTGTTCTGCCTAGACACTGGAAGGTTAAACCCTGAAACGTACCGATTCTTTGACACTGTTGAAAAGCGCTATGGCATTCACATTGAGTACATGTTCCCTGATGCTATTGATGTACAACAACTAGTTAGAAGCAAGGGCTTATATTCATTTTATGAAGATGGGCACCAAGAATGTTGTAGAGTAAGGAAAGTAAAACCACTAGGAAGAGCGCTTAAAGAACTTAAGGCTTGGATTACTGGTCAAAGGAAGGATCAATCTCCTGGGACGCGGGCATTTATCCCTGTCGTGCAAATTGACCCTTCATTTGAGGGAATGGGCCCTTCCTCTAGATTAGTCAAATGGAACCCTTTGGCTAACATGGAAGGTCGAGATGTCTGGAACTTTCTTCGGTTAATGGAGGTTCCTGTCAATTTTCTGCACTCACAGGGTTATGTCTCGATTGGATGTGAACCGTGCACAAGACCTGTCTTGCCTTGGCAGCATGAAAGAGAAGGAAGGTGGTGGTGGGAGGATGCTAAGGCTAAAGAGTGTGGTCTTCACAACGGAAACCTTAATGACAAAAAGGTCAGGGCAATAGACTTAAACGATAATATAAATGGTGTTTCTGCAGATATTTTTGATAGTCCAAAAGTAGTTTCTCTGAGTAGAGACGGGATAGAAAATCTGGTCCAATTGGAGAACCGAAAAGAGCCCTGGATTGTGGTGCTATATGCTCCTTGGTGCAGATAAAAGGTAAGCACTGATTTTGGGTTTTTATTTTTGTGTGTTATATTCCGGTTCACGTTTTACAGCAATATATACTGAGTCACTTGCCTTAATAGCATACAGCCACCCTATAATCACTCCTGAAAATTCGGGAATGATTTGATACACTCAGGCTAAGTACGGAAGGTAAAAATTACAAGAATATTACAGAATGTTCTAACATATTCTAACACTCCCCCTCAAGTTGGGTCGTAGGATCTCCAACACCCAACTTGCATAATGCTCCTTCAAATGCCTGTGTAGTAACAGCCTTGGTTAGGATGTCTGCTAGTTGATCCTCTGATCGAACAAACGGTAGACTTATTACTTTTGATTCTAGGTGATCTTTAATGAAATGTCTATCGATCTCCACATGTTTTGTGCGATCATGCTGGACTGGATTTTCTGATATACGTATGGCTGCCATGTTATCACAATACAACTTACAACTCTTCTTAGGTCTGTATCCTAGTTTAATCAAGAGTTTTCTGAGCCATAGAACCTCAGTAATCCCTTTCGCAATTCCCCTGACTTTTGCCTCAGCACTAGACATAGCAACCACCTTTTGTCGTTTGCTTTTCCAGGAAACCAAATTTCCACCCACAAGAGTGAAATATCCAGATGTGGACTTTCTGCTATCACGATCTGCTCCCCAGTCTGCATCTGTAAAGGCATGAAGATCTAGATGGTCATGGTTTCCATAGATAACTCCTTTTCCAGATGTTCTCTTTAAATATCTTAAGATCCGGTACACTGCTTCGAGATGTTGCTTCTGAGGTTTATGCATGAATCTACTAACAACTCCAACTGCATAAGCTATATCAGGCCGAGTATGAGACAAATATATTAGCTTTCCAACGAGTCTCTGATACTGCGTCTGATTTACTGATTTAGCTCCTTCAATAATCTGGAGCCCATGGTTCATAACCATAGGAGTGTCGGCTGGTTTACAGTCTATCATACCTGTCTCTGTCAAGAAATCCAGGATATACTTCCTTTGAGATATAAAGATACCCCTTTTGGACCTCAGTACCTCTATTCCCAAGAAATACTTAAGATTTCCAAGATCCTTCATTTCGAATTCCTTGAAAAGTTTCTTCTTCAATTGCTCTATTTCTTCTGTATCATCTCCTGTTATAACCATATCGTCAACATATATGATAAGATAGGTAATTGCAGTACCTCTCCTTTTGAGAAACAAAGTATGATCTGCATTGCTCTGTTTGTATCCGAACTTCTTCATTGCCACAGTGAACCTTCCAAACAACGCCCTTGGTGACTGTTTCAGTCCATACAGGGCTTTCTTCAGTCTGCATCCTTCACCTTCACCAAAGCCATGTGAGAATCCTGGTGGAGCTTCCATATAGACTTCTTCAGAAAGATCTCCATGAAGGAATGCGTTTTTTACATCGAACTGATACAGAGGCCAATCTTTGTTCGCTGCAACTGAAAACAGCACTCTGATCGTGTTGAAGTTTGCTACTGGAGAAAAAGTTTCATCATAATCTATCCCATAAGTTTGCGTGTATCCTTTGGCCACTAGTCTTGCTTTATATCTTTCAATACTGCCATCTGCTTTATGTTTAATAGTGAACACCCATCTACATCCCACTGGTCTTTTTCCACTAGGTACCACACACTTTTCCCATGTTTTGTTTCGGACAAGTGCGTTGATTTCTTCCTCCATTGCCTTCTTCCAGTGTTTGCTTTTTAGTGCTTCTTCAGTTGTAGTAGGGATGGACTCAGAGTAAATAGCTGCATTAAAGGCTTTTGTTGCTCGGGACAAATTCCCTTCACTAGGTCTGCTGACTGGATACTTTGATCTTTGTGCTTCAAAGTCTGGATCATACCGTTTTGGAGGAACACCTCTAGTGCTTCGGGGAGGTAGCACATATTTTTTAGAGTTTTCTTCAATCTGTTGCTCCTGGCTTTCCTCTTCCCTAGTACTTTCAGAAGACATACCAGATTTTCCTTCAAAGGGAATATTAGCGGGCTCACATGAATCAGGAGTACATACCTCATTTTCATCCCTTATAGGATTCTCAGTGAGGGTGTTTGAATCATCAGGCAAGGCACCTTGTAGGATGGATTGTAGAATGTTGTCAGTTATCTCGGTGGCTTTGCCTACTTGTTCTTTTGGATCAGGATCAACCAACTCCGGATAGGTTAGCCAACTTAGATCCTCGACTAAACCCTCTCCCTGAGATCTAAGGTGGTGATAGTAATACTCGGTTTCAACAAAGTCACAATCCATGGTAGTATAGAGTCGGTTTGTGACAGGGTCAAAACATCGATATCCCTTTTGGTTGATCCCATATCCCACGAAGACACATCTAACAGCCCGGGGAGCTAATTTATTCCTACTACGTTTAGGAAGATGAACATACACAGTGCACCCAAAGACCCGGGGGGGTAATGAGTGAGCTGCGGGAACAGTAGTATGTGTTTTGAGAGTGTTTAAGGGTGTATCATAATTAAGGCTTTTGGTTGGGAGACGGTTAGTAAGGTAATTGGCTGTGGCAATTGCTTCGGGCCAAAAAAAGGCTGGAACATGGGATTCAATCATCATGGCTCTGGTCATTTCAAGTAGTGTTCTGTTTTTTCTTTCGGCAACTCCATTTTGTTGTGGAGTATCAGGACAAGTAGTTTGGTGGATAAGGCCATTGTTTTTGGTAAAGGATTCAAGGTCAAGGTTTTTATATTCCCCCCCATTATCGGATCTAAGAATTCGGATTTGTGTTTGGAATTGTGTTTTAGCCATATTATAAAAAGAAATAAAGGTATCATATACATCAGATTTATTTTTCAGAAAATATACCCAACTCATTCTAGTGCAATCGTCAATAAAAGTCACATAATATAAGAAACCATGCTTATTAAATTCAGGAGCAGGTCCCCAAACATCAGAATGAATAAGGATAAAAGGAGTTTCAGTGCGATTGTTACTACTAGGGTATGAATGTTTATGGCTTTTGGCCAAAATACAAGCCTCACAATCAAAATCTATTTTTGAATTTGCAAGAGAAGGGAAAAGTTTTTTTAAGTACCCTAGGGATGGATGACCTAGTCGGCGATGCCATGTCCAAAGCTGATGTTCAACCGATCCACGAACAAGCGCTGCGCTGCCCTGGTGAGACATCTGATCAACATAAAACAACCCATTTTCTTCAGTACCACGCCCAATGATCTTCCCTGTTTGAGAATCCTGTACAATACATCCACTAGAGTCCATTAGAACAAAACAATTTAATTCTTTAGTTATCTGGCTAATGGAAAGCAATTTATGAGACAATTGAGGAATTAAAAGGCAGTTGGGTAATTTAATATTATTGGAGATATTAATTGAACCCGAGCCTTTTACACTAATTAGTTCTCCATTAGCAGTCTGGATGTGATTTTTTGTGGGCTGATTTAACTTTTCAAGGTCCATAATGTCATGGGTCATAGTGTCAGCTGCCCCACAATCAAAAACCCATTTTCCCTTTTTGTCAACGTGACTAAGTAAACTAAGTGGCTGATTTATGGGTTTAGTTTTATTGTTCATGGACTCAAAACTACTAAGTGGATCAGTGGGCTCAAGGATTTTATTTTCCTGAATAAAATTAGTGGGCTTAGAAAGAGTGTTTAACCTCTTTCTACTGGATTCATATACCCCATTTTCGTGGGTAGGCACGCAAAAGGTAAGGGTTTTACCTTCATCACTTTCTCTTTCTAAATGCAAACCTGATTTTGTTGTTGAAGCAGCAGCCATGGCTTCTCCTCCTTCACCATCGCCGGCGCTGTACGCCACTATGCTTGTGCTCGGCTTTTTTGCTGTACCCATGCCTTGATTTTCTGGCCCCTTCTTCTTTCTTTCGGTCCACCATTCCGGGTACCCAATGATTTTGAAGCACCCGTCCTTTGTGTGACGAGTCCCAACACAATGAGTACATTTCAGACTCGCCCAATCGTCTTCTCGCCGGAAAGCTGGTTTTTCAGTTCTTCCCTTTGCCGCGAAGCCGCTACCAATCCCCGGTGAGTCACTTGATGAGGGGTTTGTAGTGGTCTTCATTATGCCACGGCGTGAGAGTTCTCTTCTGATACTAGCGTAGGCCTCTTCGGTCGTTGGAAGTGGATCTCGGTGAAGGAGGTCCCGCCGGTCCTTGTCTAGGGTCTCATCAAGCCCTGCAAGAAACTGATAAAGCCTATTTTGTTGATTTAAACGATTAAAAATCGTTTTATCCTCTGGGAAAGTCATCGGATTGGGAAGCCTTCTATCGATTTCCTTCCAAATCGCTGTGAGTTTGCTGTAATAGACCTCAATCGGGTCTGTCCCTTGTTGAATTTTATTTGCTTTGACCGTGAGGTCAAAAATCTGTAATCCATCTTTATTGCTGCCATACATTGTTTCGATTCTCTTCCATAATTCTCTTGCTGTTGGGTAATCAAGAAACTGATTTTGTAATTCCGGTTCAATATTCTCGATCACCCATGAAATCACAATCGAGTCCCGTTGAGCCCACTTGGTGTACTCGGGATCTTCAGGAGGCGGTGGTGGGGTTGTGATATGGTTTAGCCTCCCCCGTCCTCCAATGCCGAGTTGCATCAACTTAGACCATTTTGTATAATTTTTGTGATTCAGTTTCTCTGAAATTTGGATGGGTTGATTTGAGGTATCAATGGTTGACTTGTTGGTGTTTAACTGTGATAACAGTTGCAATAAGTCTTCCATTGTTACTGGTTTTGAAACAATGGATTCGTTGTCGGTTTCCATGGTAAATGATGTCGCCTAAGCGTTTTCGGTCGCCGGAAAACAACCTGGCTCTGATACCAAGATAAAAGGTAAGCACTGATTTTGGGTTTTAATTTTTGTGTGTTATATTCCGGTTCACGTTTTACAGCAATATATACTGAGTCACTTGCCTTAATAGCATACAGCCACCCTATAATCACTCCTGAAAATTCGGGAATGATTTAATACACTCAGGCTAAGTATGGAAGGTAAAAATTACAAGAATATTACAGAATGTTCTAACATATTCTAACAGGTGCCGGGTTTGCCAGGTAAATCTGTACTTTCTCTGTAACATTTGAGAGCAAATTTTGCTAACATAGACCTCTAATACAGAGTATTTTTATAGCTGTATCATATTAGAAAGAATCGTAGAATAATTATGATTGCTAAAAAGAAATCTAGCCTAGCAAAAATGTTCTCATTAAAAATGTTGTACTCCCCATTCTTGATTCTTGTATATAAATGTGCTGATTGAGACTACGTTGGGTTTCTGCATAGGCAATGGAAGGCTCGTTTGTTGAATTGGCTGAAAGATAGGTTGGGGGTGGACTCAAGGTGGGTAAATTCAGAGCAGACGGCGATCAGAAGCTGTTTGCTGAGACTGAGTTTCAGCTTGAGACCTTTCCAACTCTACTTTTCTTCCCTAAACATTCAACTAAGCCTGTCAAATATCCGTCTGAGAAACGTGATGTTGACTCACTGATGGCGTTTGTAAATGCTTTGCGCTAGCCTGTATGTGAGGGTGTGAAATCATAGTTAGAACTGAGGCTGAAGTGACATTAAGGCCAAGAATCATTCATTTGACAACCCATTTTCTGTTAGTAGGGGTGTTAAATCAAAGTTAGAACTGAGGCTGAAGTGACCAAAGGCCGAAAATCATTTCGTTCGACAATGCCCACTATTTTGTGTAGCAGCATAAGCCACATTTGGTGTGAGTGTCCTTGATGTGATAGGGAAATTGGTGGTGTTTGTAGAAATATGCAAACTTCTTAGCAACTTGTGGGGCATATCTTAGGCTGCATCTTGTGGGGCATATCATAGGCTGCATCTTGTGTAAACAAGTTCATATTAACATATAGATAGACAAAAAATAGTACTCCGTATATGTTTTTGGAGGCTAGATTTATATGGGCTTCTTTGATTAATTAATGTTAATATTGTAGCATTTGATGTCAAATATAAATAACAATTGTACTAGATATTAATAATACTCCATATTATTTATTTGTTTTTGTAAACATGGACAAAGGCTAGAGATTACCTCATTGTGAAAAGTAAAAGTCTTCTAAATTGAACTTTACTAGATTCACTTTTTTCTAGTACAAATTTTGATAGTCCCTGAACAAAGCTTATTCAAACTAAATTATTCATGGATATTTATCGAAACTTGTACTTTGCAAGTTGTGCTAAGGTGCAGAAACCATGGTGAAGTCCAAAACATTCTCCATAAATCTCATTGTACTACATGAATATGAGTAAATTTTTACATACAAAAATAAGAGAAGCGAGGAAAAAGACTCCCACCATTAGGATATTAAGTTTAAATTAACATCATAAAAAAGAATTTTCAATAATATAGTACAAGTAGAAAATGAAAATTGAAATTCAATATTAATGGGTGATGCCATTAATGCAATGTGAATGGCCAAGAATGAGCAAGTGAATAATATGAATTTGAAAATGATTGGAACTTAGGAAGATGTATATGGTGATCTGTAGATACACAAGTGGAGTGCAAATATGTGTGCAATTTTGCAATGATAAGTCCCATTTGACAGGCAAATAATATTACGAGTATTACGAGTACCTTCGTTTCAGATTAACACATGTACCTGTCATAATATTGCGATTAATTTGTTTAAAAAAAAAATATTGCGAATAATGTAAAACAAAGGAGTTAAAAAGTGTTGTGATTAGTCAGTGTAGAGTTACATGGCATGAGGGCCATCGGCCACAAGAGGCAGCAGTATTGGCTTTAATCCTGCCTGCAATTTTGTACGAGTATTAAATTCATATCACGATACTTGGTGAGAGCTCAGAGCAGCAAAGGATCTGACAATTACTAACGCTGTCATTTTCCTTTTCACTTTTCACTTGCTACAGATTTCATTTAAGCAAATACGCGGTTTTGGCCAAGCCATTTACAGACCTTACATCTTAGATTCTTTACTTAAATTGGTCGACATACATCGCTTATCTAAAAGAGTTTGTAAGAAGATAAAGGGCCTGTTTTGTTCAGCTTAATTTCAGTTCAATTCAGTTTAACTCTAATTAGTTCAGTTCAGTTCAGTTTCTAATTTCCTCTCTCATAAACAATTCAGTATAGCTTTATTAAGTTCAGTTCAGTTCAGTTCAACCCCAATCAGTCCAGTTCATTTCATTTCAGTTGTTTTTAGTAAATCGAAACAGGTCCAAAGTGTGTCAATTATTATAAAACGGGGAGTAATACTTCATAGTAGGCGTGTACGTGTAGTAGCATAGAAATAGGAATGTGGTAGACATATAAAAGTGGGTTAGAAATGGGACGGTGATGACATAAAAATGTCAAAGTAGAAATGTGGCATCTAATATGGGCATTGAGATTTAGATTAGACATCAAAAATGGTGGGGATACCGTTTGTCCATTTACAAATGTTTCACTAGTCGGTATATAAGTTGTTTGTCTATGTTACTCATAAACAACTGTCTTCTCACAGCCATTTTACAGGATTTTTGGCTTTGCTAGTTTGGACCATATGATATATGAACAAATTAAGTCATATTTCTCGCTTTTCGTTTACTAATTGGAGAGCATGTTTCCAAATTATTTTTTCCTAAACATATACATGTTGGATTATATTATAATATCGTGGCTATTAATTTTGAACGTAAAAAAATTAATAAATAATTTCATTAATACTTAAACTATTATTATGAAAAAGGTACATGTAATACTTAAACATATACTCGTAGCATCAAAATTAATTAAAGTTATATCTATTATCCTTGAGAAATTAAGCTTATATTAGAACATCTATGATTTGAATATATAGATAATTAAAAATTAATATTTATCCTTATTTCAAAAAATTGAATTGAGTAGAGAAGAGAAGAAATTTTAGTAACATATACATATGCATATACATATACGAAACGAGCAAAGAATTCAAAGCAACAAAATGGTAACATTTTAACTTACAACTAAATTATTGTTGGTTATGTAACAAGTAAGGTATCACTATCTCAGTAAACTTTACACAAATTTAGAAGATACTCACAATCATGGAGCACAGAAATGCATGCTCCACAAATAGCTAGTTGGAATATAAAAATAAACATAAAATAAAATGGAATAATCCCATGACACAAAGAAATTCACCAAAAGCCAAAAGAACAATCTACTAGTATTAAATATGTCATGCATTCACACCTAGCACTAAGATGAGGTGATGGAACAAAACATAGGATATAAATATTTCAATATATATTCTGAACCCCATCTCGCCTCAACTTTTTCATTTTAAATATTCCACAATTAATATTTTTCAGAACTTTTTTATATTTTTTTTTTTTTGAGGAATTTGAGAAATATGGCATCCTCACTATACGTAGTAAAACATAATTTTATACTAACAATAATGTTTTGTTTTATGATGATTATAAACTTCAAATATACAAGAGGTGATCAACTAGCGCCAGCATTGTTTGTGTTTGGAGATTCATTGGTTGATGTTGGCAATAATAATCATCTTCCTTTCTCCATTGCTAAAGCCAATTTTCCTCATAATGGCATTGATTTTCCTACTCACAAGGCCACCGGAAGATTCAGCAATGGCAAAAATGCCGCGGATTTACTTGGTATGTAATCTTATCTTACTTACTATTTCAATACTGCTATAGGTCTATGGTTTAGACCATTATAACTTTATAATCTTTGTGCAATCTCGATCGATTATAGCAATATATTATTAACATCTTATTAATTTTTGCACCGCTTATTGTTTAGGTAGTTTACGTAGTGATTAAACTAAATGGACAAAACAGTACCCTTATCGTTATTTTATATAGGTACGCCTTGTTTTGTGTATAGTAATTTAAGGATACTTAATTAATTATAGTATACGGGTGAGATAGGAGGCTAGATTAGTTGGCTAGTTCTCCAACTTCCAAGCGTGAGGCTAAGGATCGAATCTCACCAAGCACATTATAGAAAGGATTTCTCTTACATCCCCTTTCTAGGATGGGCCTTCTCCTTAGCATAAAAATAAATAAATAAATAAATAAAATAAAATATAGTATACGGGTATATATAGATTACGTAAATTTGATGTTAGAGGCTCTAATTGATGATTATTACTACCTTATAGGTAAAATTAGGTGCATGTTTACACCATATCTTAAGTCTCTCTATGAATTGGTACCTCTAATAACTTTTAAAATTATGTAAATTATGAACTTTTAAAATTATGTAAATTATGAACGGGCATTGAGAAATTAAACTAAAATTTTGTAAATTATGAATGGGAACCTCTAATTTTTTGTTTGCTGTATTGAACTAAAGTCCAAATAGATGACATGACATGTTCTACACACTTCAAACATTTGGCATCTCATGAAATGTGATAGCGGCGTTCATGCATTGCACATAGTTAACTTGCATTTGTTTGGTCGTTGCAAATAACGTACCCTATAAGAAGATGTTGGTTCATATTATGCTTTATAAGAATAACGTACCCTATAAGAAGATGTTACTCATATATATAAATAAAGGTTATTCTTATAAATCAATATGGCCTCACTATGTGGTTAGCCACATATAAGACTTACTCTTTCCATTTTTATGTATCTTTACGTATAAAATTTCTTAGGATAAATAGCCGTAACTTGTTAAATTGAAATTCAAAAGAAGCTAGAGTACTATCTAATCGAATAATAATCGTGCACATTTTATTTTTCCAATTTGATTTCTCAATGCACAATTACTTGTTACTATAGTAATTCTGTTTTGTCTGGTTTGATATACCTTTCAAATTAAATGAATCAAACCATCAAGGAGCCCATGACATAAATTATTACATAAATTAATGACCTATAGAGATCAAATGGAAGTACTATAGGCTTTACCATAATAGAGTATCTCCATTTAATAGTAATTAATGGTGTTTAATTAAGCCTAACAGTCATATCTTCTTTTTTCAGATTATAATAGGATGATAACTCTAGTTAGATAGTTAGCTAACAAGTTTATTGTAAAAGGGGATAAATGTATACCCATTTTATAGGGTATGGGGGTTGGCAAATGAAATAATTGTTCCTTAATTTTATGATTTTGTTTTAATTGGTAAAATATTTACTTTCTATTTTGATGATTTACCTTTACCAGCTGAGAAATTGGGGTTAGTGTCTCCACCACCATACCTTACCTTGACACACACCAAAAGTAGCAACTTTTCAAGTGGAGTTAGCTTTGCATCTGGAGGTGCTGGAATCTTTGATGGCACTGACCAACTTTACGTATGACTTCATTCTCTCTCCTCAACTTTGAAAATAGTAATTTTAATTATACTGCCGGTTGTACAGTACAATCAAAGGTTATTTTTCTTTACATGTATGCTTATTTAGGGAGGTCACATAAACAACTGAACAAACATAGTATTGATTGTACGTGCGTATGTTACATCTGATTGTACTGTGAATGTATTGCCAAACGATCGTTTAATCAACAATGTACATGCATTTACCTTAACTTGACCTACCTCAGTATAATAACACGATAACAAGATTCATATATACATTGAATCATTCGAAAATAAGTTAACTTTTTCGTTGGTTAATTTATTTTAAACTCACTCCACTAATATTTATATATAAAAGTTCAAATTAGTTCATACAAAATAAGTCGAATAAAACAGCGTAAGACTCAACTCTGATAAGAGTGAGATATAAAATTTGAACCGGTTAGATGATTATGTACTTACACTAATATATCAAAATAAATAAAATATTACTTCGTATATAATGTCAATTACCACAGACACTTACGTATGTAGAAACGAAAGCGAATCATATTCTTGGGTGATTGAATTAGAAAAACAATTTTTTGCTTAGTTGTTTGGGAAATGGAACCTCAAACTAGAAGAAAAGTGGGCCATTTCAGGCTTTTTGTAAAGAAAAAGAATCCTACTAATGGGCTAAAACAAAAAAGTAAGTTGGTCTACCAACAAACCGTCTAAATAGATTAAACCCTAAAAACAAAACATAAAAAATGCGGTGAGCGTGGATCGAACACGCGACCTTCAGATCTTCAGTCTGACGCTCTCCCAACTGAGCTATCCCCGCTTATGGTCTGTTTTTGGTTTTAAATATATTTATTTAATTTTTATTTTTTTGTTTCATTTTTTTAAATTTTCAGCGTCAATCTATACCTCTTACAAAGCAAGTAGATTACTTTGGTATAGTACAAGGGAAAATAACGCAACAATTGGGACAAATTGAAGCACAAAAAATATTGTCGAAATCAGTGTTTGCGATCGTGATTGGAAGTAATGATATCTTCGGCTATTTCGGTTCATCCGCTTCTAGCCAGAACAAAGTCACCCCTCAACAATACGTGGCTTCTATGGTACTCGCTTTCAAAGGTCAATTGAAGGTATATGTCTAGCTATATTCTTCCATCTATATTATTATTTACGATCTCACGAATTAGTAGACATTACTAGTTCAAATTATATTATCTTTGCGACACCCAATATTTTCAAAGATCAAACTATAACGAATTGAAATATATATTGTGATCACAATTTATACGATTTTGGTAGAAAAATTATTAACACTCTCTTGATGTATTTTAATTAATCGCAGCGACTATACGATTTTGGAGGTCGAAAATTTGTGATATTCGGGGTAGCAGCAGTAGGGTGTTGCCCATCACAAAGAGACGGGAACAAAACTGAAGCTTGCAATGAAGCAGCCAATTTTGGGGCTTCCAATTATGACAAAGGACTCATATCAGCTCTTCAGGATTACCAGACACAACTTAAAGGCTTCCAATATACTTACTTTGACACCTACGCCGTCTTCCTTAACCTCATCCAACAACCGGCTATTTATGGTACGTACTTTTGTATGCCACAATAAATTCTAATTGTGGAGTAATATGTTGAAGGCTTTCTTTGCTTCAAGTATAATTTTTGATAATTTAGGGAATCCTAAAACTCAATAATTTACTTAAGTAATAAAAAGATATTGTAGTCTATGGATTTGCATGAGGATGGGACATTGGATCGTAAGGGATGGAGGGTGGAGAGTTCTGTCGATGACTACACGAAATAATCACTTTTGGTTCATATAGCTGACCTCACTTATGGGATTAAGGTTTTGATTGATTGATTGATAATAAAAAGTAAATTGTTATTGAATGTGGTCTAACATATACCTCCATATAAAATTACTAGACAACATATATATCACATAAATGGAAAATTCCCTGTTTCTTATAATGAGAAACGAAATTTGTTTCTCATGAGGTATTTTCGTGAATAAATGAACAGTTTTTTTTAATTATTGTGGGCTCCACAATTAAATAAAGTTGAATAAAATTGTTGGTTTATTTACAAAAATGCCATATTTTGTTTCTCACTGTGAGAAATTTGGGCTCACTCCACATATATTGTTATTTAGTGGTTATCTTATGGCACGTTAAATGGTGTATCGTTCACATGCTTAATACGGAGTTCTTATTAATTACCTCCATACTTATATTTAATTTCATATTTCTTTGTAATAATTTATATGTAATGATGCTACAACAAATGTTATGCTAGCGGTATGAGTATGAGTTATGATGTGGTGCGATGTCAATGTTAGAGGGGTAGCGACTTATAATAGGGACATAATATATGTGCGGGCCTAGGGTTTTGAAAGGCATTTACATGATAGATTTTGTTTAACTGTTACAGGATTCAAGGAAGCAAAAGCAGCATGTTGTGGAGGACTAGGAAATTTACATGCTAAACTAGCTTGTCTACCCATCTCAACTTATTGTTCCAACAGAAGTGACCATGTTTTCTGGGACCTTTACCATCCAACTGAAGCAGCCGATCGAATCATCGTAGATACGGCTTTCAATGGTCCCCGAAAATTTGCCTTTCCCATTAATGTGAAGCAGCTAGTTGCAGCTTAAGTAGTGTCATGGTTAAGCTCTAATCGTGTAGTACATTCCAATTCAATAGTATACAGTACGTCATCATGTTAAATTATTTTCACTGAGTAGAAGAGGGTATTAAATCATTAATTGCACAACATCATATCTTACCCTTGATTACTTGATACAAAAAAGTTGTATTTAGAGTGCTTAAGGATTAATCAAAATGAAGATATATACATTATTGCACCTTTTGTCCTAGGGTTTTGAAAATATTGTCATGCATGAAGAAGATTATACTCACTCTGTCTCTTTTCTATGGTTACACTTTGACATTCAAGATCTCCAATGTACATCTTTTACTCGCTTGTAGGGTTATTTGTTTAATGCAAACTCACAACTTCTTTAATATTTGCACATGACATATGAATTGGTGATTCGAGACAAACCAAGTGATGAGGAATTGTTTGCTTTGGCAATGGCCTGGGTCCATCTAATTTAAATTAGTATGCACTTAATTAGAATCAATTATATGTAAATGGAAACAATTTTCAAGCACATAGCTATGGCAAACACAAATCTACTATGAATTATGGATTGTGTGCGTGTGTCTATAACGAAGAAGGTGGAGTGTTTTTTTTTTTTTTTTTTTTTTTTTTTTTTTTTTTTTTTTGAGGATATCATTGAACTCGAGTTTATCATTGATGCCCTCAGAACATACTCCTTCTATCCCTATTTTTCACCCTATTGCACATAAATGGGTCAAATTTTAAAAATTTTGGCTGTAAATTCTTAGTAATAAACTAATAAATAAGAGATAATTGTCATGTGACTCTTGTTAAATTCGGCTCATTGTATATTTTATTAATATCAAATTTTTGTAACTTTTACGCGTATTAATTAAATGGAGTTATATATATTTTAAGACGCGTCTTGGAGACCGTAAAAATCAAATGGAGCAAAAGTTAGGGACAAAGAGTGTATAGGACTATATTTTTTCATATAATAACCCGAGTCGGAGCATCATCTCGGCCCCAAAAGCTAGTTTTCTTAATATAAAGTAGAGCACACCTTTGAAAACCTATGGGTATATGTCGGTTAACTATTTGCGCGTAGGTCCTATTTACTAACATTGCATAAAGGATGATATTTTTGTAAATAATGGGAATATAAGGGTAGAAAATATGATGGCAAAAAGTACCATTACATGCATAATAGTATACAAAAAATACTATTCGGACAATTTATACTTTAATGGTACATTATACATACAAAATAGTATACAAAAATGTACCACTGTACGTTTAAGAGAGAAAAAAATGTACTATCAAAACCCGAATCGCCGTTCTATTTGCAAGCCAAACAAATAGGGCCTATACGCCTAGGGGGGCTCGGTATATGTCATCTACAATAGATCGAATGTTCACAAACAATTGACCTCACCAGCGCGAGGATGGGTTTAACGTTTAATTAGAATTGAAGTCAGAAACGTGCATGCATGCATGTGTTTGCATGTATACCTATCAAAGCGTTTCTATGCCAACTTTTTCAACGAACCCAAATCAACTAAAGCTGAGTTGAACGTTTATATTGACAAATATATTGAAACGTTTTAAGGCATGATTAAAGCACTCCCTCTATATTTTTTTATAAGTTAGAGTTGGGATTTTTCACTATTTATATATCATCACTGACTTAAATTTTTTTTACCAATATATAATTTATAAATATGATCATATAGTATATAGTTGGATTTGTCATAATGTCTACTTTTATATATTAATTTTTTTCATACTTTTTACTAATCTCTAATTAAAGATATGATGGTCAAAGTTGTGTCTCGACAAATGTGTAAATCCAACCATAACTTATATAAAAAACAGATGGAGTATTATTTTTGGGTTTGGTTCAAGCATGTGGGGCTATAAATATATATTAGGAAGCTTCAATTCAAAGACACAAATATTGTTGAATTTCAACCAAGGAATCAATAATCAACAAGATTTATTCTTCCTTCAAAAATTGGATCATGCAATATCTCGTAGAATAATCCAACTCTTTTTATTTTTTTCACTCCATATTACTCTTTTTCTTAGTGAAACCATAATGTGTACTCGCACTCGTACTACTCTTACTCTTCCTACTCCTACTCTTACTGTTGTTATCAATAATCATAAGATTAATATTGGGCATCAATATAATGCTCAACTCAATTTCAAAAAGACGAAGAGCTTTTTGGGTTTTATTGGGATATAATTTGTGATGTGATAAATTCTAGTTTTAAGTCTCGTGCAATGTACGGTTTTTATTAATATTACAATAAATTATAATGTTAATTCAACAATAGTTTACAGTAAACTAAATTAATTTTGTAAGTGAAACACGATAAATTAATTATACTTATACCAAAGAATGAAGGTAACTCCGTAACTATTATATTAAGTCGATCCACTATGTGAAAAATTAAAAGAAACTTAAGAACTATAGGGCACTATTTAATAAAGAGTAACACATGTGTGATATAGTGATATAAACACATATATATGCTTAACTTAGTTGACTACTAAAATACATAAATATATATAGATAGCAATAATGATAAATGAATCACAAATTCTTCAAAAAGGCGGGTGTACGTTAATTTATTGTAAAACGGGTTAAAGTTGTGTTAAAAGTACATAATGTTACCCTTTGTATTGCTAAAGTTATTATTTTTCTATTAATAAATTTTATCTTACAAAAAACTTATACTGTATTAAATTAATCATTTAATCTTTATATTATGTAATCACGTATCTATAAAAAATTACACATTAAAATAAAATTCAAAACAATTACAAATTAAAAGTTACCCTAAATATAGTTAAAGTTATGCTCAAATCGACCATTTTACAATAAAATTAATGTACACCCGTTGTACACAAATATATATATATATATATATATATATATATATATATATATATATATATATATATAATTCAATAAGCTTAAAATTAATGTGTGGCGTACCTAATGTAGCCATAATACTCAGATCATAAGTACCAACAACATTTAGAGACTTTCATTAAAAAAATTATGATTATAATATATTTAGCTGCCTTATTTCGAGGTCACTTTCTTGGTCATGATAGGAAAAAGTGACAAAAAAACCCACCTTAATGCCTAGCAATCTATCTTTTTTTTTTTTTTTTTTTTTGTTAAGCTTTCGCACATTTTTTCCAAAACAATGAATTATTATGTTACCATTACCAAAACTTAAATTTTCCAAGTCCGTTCATAAATTGATCACCAAATTTTTCTAGCTCTTTTTTGACATTGTCACCAAACTTTTCAAGGTCCTTCGCTGCGTCTTGAGCCATACTTTGTAATCCATCCCCAATCGCTACCGCTGTATCTTTCACGGCATTATACACCTTTACACTCCCTGCTTCGATTTCATTTGCAGCATTGCTTACAAACTCTACCACATCTTCACCAATATCTTCCAATTTATTTTTTATTTCATCCCTATTCTCGTAAGCTGCCTTGCCAACTTTCACTATCACGTCAACTGCCACGGCTGTCGCTATGGCCGCCGGTAATCCTATACACACCGATGGTGTGTTATCAGCGTTTTTAAATGAGTTCAGCTGCATCGACCCTGTAGAATACTGCAAAATACAGGAGACCAATTATACCAAGTTAATATCATATATAAAGCTAAGTCAAACTAATGCATTGACATGTGTATTAAGTTTGATCGGGTGTGTATCAATTATTTTGGAACAAACGAAGGGTGTGTTTAATTAATTAATTACTTATATTTTCTTATCAAAAATTATTAGACTTGAAATTAGTGAAAATAAGGTGAACAGAACATGCACTTATTCATCAAGCATGTACTCACCATTTTATTAGTGAATTGATTCAAGACATCAGTCCAAAGTAGATGGTCTGATTTCAGCATTCGAAGGAGTTTGCAGAAGAGATCTTTGAGCTCTTGTTCCTCCGCAACGTTGATTGGGGCGGTGTTGACTAGAAGAAGTCCCAACACTTGATCATGCGCCTCAATAGCTTCCATGAACTCTTCTTTGGCAATATGATTATCGGGTTGATCGGGGGAAGACCAGGCAGCTAACCAGTACCAAATGGTTAGTAATGTGATTATATCTTTGGGTTGATCAACTTTAAACAAAGTAGTATCAGGATTGCTTAAGTCAATACAATGCACGCGTTCTTTGAGATCCTTGAGTTCATCTTGCATAGCGACTACTTCTCGCATAAATGAACAAAACTCTTCGACCCATTTCTCTTTCGACATTCCAGAGAAGATAGCATTGAAGGGTTTTGCCATTTCAGGGATGTTGATCAAAGTAGGGTTTTCGAGCTTGTTGATGGCCAAACGCAGATGTTTCATGTGCTTGTAAATGTCTACCATTGCTTGTGTATTCTCCACCTTCACGCTCCCTCTCTTCGCATCTTTGTTTGCAGAAACCGCGAATATGCAATGCCATAGTGACAAGATTGAGGCTGAGTTTTGATCAACTGATGAATTCGTTATCAACGACAAATCTTGTTGCTTCAAATCTCCCTGAAAAATGCCAGATTATTAGATAACATAGGCATATTTTTGTCTAAGGTCTTGTTCTCTCGTAGTCTTAATAATTAACTGAATTATATTGAACTATTCTAAATAATAATAATAATAATAATAATAATAATAATAATAATAATAATAATAATAATAATAATAAGGGAGTCCCAGTTTCTCACCTGACATTTTTGTAAATAAATCAACAATTTTATTCAATTTTATTCAATTGTGGAGCCCACAATAATGAAAAAGTTGTTGATTTATTCACAAAAATACCCCATGTGAAATAAATTTCGTCTCACACTATGAGAAATATGGCATTTTCCAATAATAACAAACAAGAACAATAACATCTATCAGCAACACCTTTTTGTTTGTCCTATTCAAAATCTTTCATATATAAATGTAAATTAAAGCATATTCATATGCAATTTTATTAGATTCAACTCAACAATAATTTTTCTTAATATATAAATAAAAATGAACTCAACATAAGAAACAGATGGATTATATTACTATCTCCGTTACTTTTTAGTTGCAATAAAGGGTATTATTTGTGAGATATAAAATATTCATTTGTTGTAATTAAAAATTAACAGAGGTAGTAATAAAAGTTGTATATAGTGCTAAATTAACTAATTGTATTAAAAAATTGGAGAATACATTAAAAAAAATGGCCTTAATATTGATTAAAAAATTTAGCATATTACTTAGGTGTTCTAATTTTGTAGTATTAATAATTACATGTGTAAATATTTCAATTTAGAAAGTCAGTAGTTTCTTTAAACCAAAACATTCCTTCAGTTCTATTTAATAAAAACTTTATACTCCATACATAACATATATAAAAAATAAACATAAAAATATAAATATATATATAAATATAAATAAAAAAACGTACATTTGTTTTGACCACTAATATCTTAAAAGGTTGTTACACGCAAGATAGTATAGGAGAAGCAAAACAGAATACAATATAGGAGTTATAAAAAGTGTTGAACAAAAGAGATAAACCAAATGATTTATATGATGAAGTGAAAAAAAAAGAGTCTTACCAAATGAGGTAAGTCGTAGTTGATTATAATACAAGTATTACTTACTTGATCAGAGAACAACTCGTTACTCTAGCTTTGCAAGTTTAATTCTTGTTGATGATCTGGGTTCCTTCATCAAATTATCAACCTATTTATAGAATTTGTAACTCTCCTTTGGCTAAGGATCATTAATTTGTTTATTCTCAAAAATAATACAACACACTAAAATGATTAATGTGGGGCGGTGATTAATCTGAAATTATAATATTACAACATTAAACAGCTCGATTCAATTAAATGATGTTCATCACTCGTTCCATGATCGAGATATTATTTATGAATAGTATAATCTGGAATAGAATTGAAGCTCGTTAATATAGAAAGATTAATGCTCCACCTCTTTGCACTTCTATCATAATATCTTCCCACGATCTAAATATTAAAATACTCGTACAAATTAATATGCTTATATTATGCATGTTATTTGGGTGAACGAATTTAAAAACATACAATACTTTTTGCTGGCTATTTCGACTTGTGAGGTAGTCCGGGTATATATTTGGTACTATCTTCGTATTTTATTAATTGCTTCACTTTTTTTTTTCCGGCTATATTTTATTATTTACTCTTTTTTCTTTTTTGGAAATTTTTAACAATATTTTACTATTTCCCTCCCAATAGTCCATCATATTATATTTAATATTTTTCATATCCTCTCTCGCTTCTCCCCATTTATACCCACTTTTACTTTTTAAGATTTTTTTTATTTTATACTCCGCTCATGAAGAAATTAAACAAGTAATAAAATATGGAGGAAGTATTTTTCTGTAAAAACATAATAGGGTATATGGATCATTTCTTGTAAAAAAACAAAAAAAAAAAATGATCATTTTATATCAAGCATTAAATTTCAACGGTATATTTTGTGTATTACCATAAACATATATAGTGCTTGCTATTGGAGTTACAATGGTACTATCAGATATGATATATTAGACATATGTATTACACATTGGTATAATAGATGATGATGCACTATTTATATATTTATCTATTTATACTAATATATCAAAAAGGCATTTATAAATACGTTCATGTGCCACGTAGATCCTTTTAAATTATGCCACGTCATTTCACAGACACTTCATGACGCCACATACCCACATTACTTCATATAAAAATATAAGATTAAAGGGATTCAAACACCCAACCATTTATAACAAAGTTGGCTTTTTACCCATCTTACCCCATTATCAAGTATGTTATAAATATGAAAAAGATATGTGCATAAGTGTAAATCACATGATAATTTAATAATTAAAAAAAAACACATTCAACAATGTCGATTTCAGATTTTAAATTCCTTAAAAAAATACTCCAATTGCAATATTACAAAAGGAGTAATCCGAGGCAACGCGCGGTCTACTCACTAGTTTGTATTTATTAATTAGAAGATTGTATAATATCATTATTACACCTTTTAACAGTACCATTTAATTACCTGGTGATACATTACACATATGCTAACATATGATGTACCATTATGTTTGCAAGATTACAATTTTTTATATACAACTAGAAAAATATCACGACATGTTTGTTTTCATCTGAAGTGATTATATTATCTGATACACCATCTATTTACTTTGTTTAAAAAAAAAAAAAAAAAAAAAAAAAAAAAAAAAAAAAAAACTATTTACTTACTTATTAATGGCATCTTATAGAAAGACAAAAAGTTAACATTATTTACGAAAATGCTACAGTACAGTTTGTATTTGCAAACTTATAAGATATAATACAAAAAACTGTAGGTAGTAATTCTTAAAATAACAACAATTGTAGGTGGTAATTATCATAAAAATTATAAGAGTAAGCCATTAAAAAATGAGATTCGGAAATCGCGGAAACTAGATTATTTGATCATGGTGCGCCATTCAGAGTATTGAAAACAAGCTAATATTCATATATATATGGATCGTGGGACGAAATAAATACATGATAGTGCAAAGAGGTGGAGCACTTATTTATGAATAATTTCTGAATCATGAGTCATGGCTGTTATGGAACCTCATTTAACTAATCTAAGCGATTAATGTGGTAATATTATAATCTCAGATTGATCGATCGCCGCTCCACATCTATTATTAATTATTCTATATTATACATTTTTCATTACTCAAAAAAAAAAAAAAAAAAAAAAAAGTTCCTTAATTCTATAAATAGGTCGATAGTCTGGTGAAGAACTCATCAACAATAATTAAACTTGCAAATCTTGAGTAACGAGTTGTTTTTGTGTAAGTACGTAGTGTTATAATCAACTACGACTTTACTCATTTGGTAAGGCTTGTACTTTTTTTTTTCCACCTTTTCTTTCCATCATATCATGCATCTAAATTATCTCTTTTAGTACTCCCTTTTTTTCGCTACTCTTTCTAACTTTAATTTATTATTTTACAATAAACCACTTATTATCATATTGATGATATGTTGTAATCAAATGTAATTTTTATAAATCCTATTTTTTTTATGAATATTTAAGCCCTACCCTATAAGACTTGTTTTCCAGTTGTTCAGCATAGTTATTCTAATTCAGCTTCATAATTCCCTTTATTAACCGTTTTGTTTTATTTTGTTTGTCTCATTTACATTTTTACACAGTTTCCAATCCATATTATTATTATTATTATTATTATTATTATTATTATTATTATTATTATAACAAAAACCTACAAAGTCAAATTATTATTATTATTATTATTGTTTTATTTCTTTGATGAATTTTTGTTGTTGTTATTAATTATTTACTTATATAGTTTAGTTTTCATTTCAATTCATAGTAGTTTAATCTTGTAAAAGAACAAGCTACAACATACCTATATATTTGATTTTTTTTTTCTTGCAACAATGATTCTCATTTCACATTTGTCAATGCATTATTTCAATCATTAAGATTTTTAATTACCAATACGTAAAACTTATTTCATAAAAAAATGATATTATGTACGAAAGTTTATTTAAAATGATAATTTTACTTTACAATGAGGGATCAAAATCTTTTAAAAAAGTCTCATTAGGTAGTTTCTTACAACATTTTTTTAATAGGTAGTTTCTCATAGATTCTGAGTTTTATTAGGTATTTTGTGACAAAAAAAATCATTATCTAATAATTTGAAATATTTCAGGTAGACTACACTTGACCCCAAAAAAATCCGCTGTTGACTATGGAAACTACTGTGGACCAAAACTCAGCCACAATCTTGTCACTATGGCATTGCATATTCGCGGTTTCAGCAAACAAGGATGCGAAGAAAGGAGAGCCGCTGAAGCAGGAAAATGCGCAGGCATTGATAGACATCTACCCTCACATGAAAAATCTGCGTTTGGCGAATCACGGGATCGACAACCCGGCTTTGATTAGCATCCCTGAAATAGCAAACCCTTCAATGCTATCCTCTCTGGAATGTCGAAAGAGAAATGGGTCGAAGAGTTTTGCTCGTTTATGCGAGAAGTAGTTACTATGCGAGATGAACTCAAGGGTCTTAAGGAGCGCCTTCATAGCATCGACTTAAGCAATCCTAGTACTTTGTTAAATGATAACAAACCCAAAGATATAATCACATTACTTACTCTTTGGTATTGGTTAGCAGCTTGGTCTTCCCTCGACCAACCGAAAGATTGTTGTGCTAAAGATGAGTTCATTCAGGCCATGGAGGTTCAGAGCAAAGCGTTGGGATTTCTTATGGTTAAAATTACCCCAATTGACCCCATTGAGCAACAAGAGCTCCAAATTCTCCTCTCAAAGTTACTTCAAATGTTGAAATTGGACTATCAACTTTGGATGGATTCCTTGAATCACTGGATTGGTACATTGGTGAGTTCCTAATCAAATAAGTTCACAGATACTTTATAAAACATACACATGCATGCATTTAAAGTCATGCACCATATAATACCCTGAAAGTGTATTATATGATATAATTATAAATGTGTTTTCTTATTTTAATTTTTTTTTATATTTACATAATTACTTTATTAATTATTTTTAAATTTTGGTAATAATAAAAACTGAATTTTGTAAATTAATTAGGAAAATTTATAAAAAAAATTCAGAAACTATTTCAAAATTAATAAATAAATTTTGAAAAATAGATAAATGATTTATAATTATTTTGGAAATTAAAAACAAAAAATCAAGATTAACCAATAAAAAATTAGTATAATGGTAGTCATTTTGAAGATGACTACAATAGGAGCATACTACCTCTATGTCTAGATATATAAGTAGATCAGTTTAATAGAACACTTGTACCTTTGCATTCAAATAACTTTGACCGACAAATAATATCACAACCTGGATCTGTTCACTTTTAATTGCAACAATTGTCTCAAAAGATAAAAACATACTAAGTATATAGTATTACATTGTACATACTAGTAAAATAGATATGGTTTGTCTAGGCCGGATCACTATGTATAAATATGACTTCGAAATGAACATGATATATATGTATAATTGTTTTGTGATTCGCAGACATTGCAGCCATCTAAAGCAGCAGAAGCATATGAACCTATTGTGACTTCACCGACACATTGGAAATCATTTAATAGCACATACAACAACACACCGTATATAAGTTTTGTTTCAAAAGTTGGAAAAGAAGTAGTTGAAGGGATCGTAACGACTGTGATCCAGGAAGGTGGTAAGTTAATTTACGAAAAAAGGGAAGAAATTTTGGAGAAACTAAAAGAAATGGGTAATGATGTTGCAGATATTGCCGACAAAGAGTTTAATAATTTTGTTAAAGAAATAAATGGTCTAGTGGATGTAACAAAGAAGGGAATGGAAGAACTAGGTGCTGGTATAGAGGAAGCAGTGAAAAAATCCGTGGAGGAATTGGAATGTTTCGGAGGAAAGGTATGGGATGAATTGCAAAAGGTTGGGGACGCACTCAAAGATGCTACTGATAAGGTTGGAGACGCACTCAAAGAGGGAGCGAAAGAAGTGGAAGATTTTGCTGATCGAGTGTGGAAAGGACTGGGAAGCTTTCTAGGATTCTGAGGTACAGTGAGCATCCCAAATACCCTTTAATTTTGTGTACCTTACATCCCGGTGTATGTAAAAATGGAGGGAGATGAAAGTTTGGGCAAGATGGTACCAACGGTAATTATTATGGACGAATGTTAAAAAAAAAAGATGGAATACGGGCATTAAGATAGGTTTTTTGTCACTTTTTCCTGTCAAGGCCAAGAAAGTGACCTAATATAAGGTAGCATTTATTCTTGATTTATTGTAATTTACTTAAGGGCATACTCACATGCATGTTATTATTGTATTACTTGAGTTAATAATATATATCATATTTGGTTAAGAAAAACGTTTTTATTTCTAGTTCAACTACTACCTCCGTTTCAGAATACGCGCAACATAGTACAGTTTTACAGTTTTCAAGTCAAAAGATATTAAGCATGATTATTGAAAAATAAGGGCATATAAATACTTAATTATTAATCCAACCCCAACAAATAAAATCAACCAAAATTAAATTCCATAACCCACCACCTGACCACCACCGACACCACCTAGAAGGACCGAAACCACCCACCACCACCCTGCAGCACCAAACTACCCACCACCACCACCCAGCAGAGAACCCAACACCACCCATGAACCCAGCACTACCCACTACCCAGCACCGAATCGAACCCACCAACCCACCCAAGCAACCCACCGCACCCACAAACCAACAAGCAACCCACCTAATCCACGAGCCGCAACAATCCACCAAACCCACCAACCGCGAACCCACCAACCACAAACCCAAGAACCCACCAACCACGAACCTTCAAACCCTTCTCTATTATCAATTAAAGCTTTAATTGGTCATATTTAACCATCAAAACTCTAGATCTAGAGTTTTTATGGTTAAATTTGACCATAAAACTTCAAATTTGAACGTCAACGACAATGACGAAACAACAAGGAAAAGAAAGAGAGAGAAAACGGAGGTCAGTGGTAGTTGGTGGTGGTCGAATTAACGGGATATGAACAAAGAGAGTGAAATTTTTGGGTAGTTGAAGATAGAGTGGAGGTCGGTGGTGGTGGTGGTGGTGGTGGTTGCCAATGAAGGTGATGGTGAATTTAGATGGAAGGGGAATGTTTTTGGTGGAAATGGTTAAGATAATTAATGTTAGAGTTTAAGTTAAAAGATAAAATCAGTAGTTTAATTAGGGTGTTTAAAAAAAAAGGGTGATTTAGTAAAATCACACAAAAAACTTACTTAAAATGGAAAGAAATCGCTTTGAATTGTTGCGAGTAATGTGAAACATCTGTTTTTGATAATAGTTGTGAGTAATATAAAATGGAGATAGTATTAAATTGTTGAAAGTGAATTTCCTCTTTATAAGACAATAATGTACGTATATCAAAACTCTACACTTATTATCATCACTTTCATTGCTCTACATTCTTCAGAATTCTCATGAAATGCTATGCCAAAAGAATGAAATAAAAATTGGGATTAAACTAAAAATGATGGAAGTAGTACAATATTATATAATTTAATTTACCTTTGTTGGTGCTCTCTCTACCAATTTTTTTTATGTTTAACGAGCTAAACTAAAATCATTGTGTTATGGAGTAAACTAGAATAAAAAATGTCTCATGATTAAATCTTCTTAAATTAAAATATTTTCTACTCTTTAATTAGTTATTATACCTCCACCACATCTATACTAATACCAGAAAGTATCATAGGTTTTTTTTTTTTATCCTAACTCTAAATTGTTATGATTATTTTCATCCCAAATTTTAAAAAGCTTTTAAATATTTATCAAGCAATTCCTTAATTAACACATCATAACTTCAATATTTCCTCCTCATCAGACAAAAATTTAGAAAAAGTAACAACCTGGATTATTGCCCGAAATAATACACACTAGTTAAGTATTATAATTTAAGTGACTTTCTTATATAAGGAAAAATTATTGCATAGATTATAACCCTAAAAAAAACTTCTTCTAAGAACTAAAATCTAACACACATACTACATCCATTTCTCTTTTACAAAAAAGGGAATGATATGTTTCAACAAAAAAAAAAAAAAAAAAAAAAAAAAAAAAAGGGAATGATAATGAATAATGATGTTGCCTCACCAAATCTTCATCACGTATTGGCATCCCTCTGTTGTCTAGGGGGCTTGCTGCATTGTTAATAATTATGGAATTAATTACATAAAATACTGATTAAATTTAGGAATTAAATTTAACATACCTTGACGCTGTTGGAGACCTGTCACATATGTTGAGCCTTTTGGTTTTGATGGACAAATTGACAAACTCGACTAATGAATGTTTTGAGTCTTTGGTGAATAAAGGATTCAAGCAAAGTTCGTTCCGGAGTAGGAACTTGGATGCGGAGTAGCATTCTTTAAAAAGCCTCGTGCAAATCTCACGTTCTAGTTTTAATTGTGAGCACTCAATAATATAAAGTCGGAAAGGAACTCAATGACTTATGTTAAAGACTACTGGAATAAAAGTTAGTTTTAAAAGATAATTTCTTAAAGAAAAGATAATTTGTAAAAGTTTTAATAAAGATAATTATCGAAGATAATTATCTAGTTGTTTTAATAAATAATAAATTTATCTTTTCAAATAAAATCTTTTTAAACAAACTTTTGATAATCTTTTAAATAAAATATTTGATAAAGTTAGCAAGTGGTTTTTCTGTGAGAAAATCTTTTATACGGCTAATGGTTATCAAGTTGTTAGGATAGTGGTTTAATTAGATAAGGCTAGGAAACCTCTTCATGATCACAATCTGTCAAGATAACTCCACAAGTTGTTAGTGGGTTGTTGACATGTGGACGTGATTATGGTGGAGGTTAATGACTAAGCCTTCTCTATAAATACTCGTGCAAACTATCTCAGAAAAACATAACTCTTAAGCATAAAAATTCCAGTAGCCATCTAATAACATAAAGAGAGTTATTTTCCTTCATATATTCTTGAGTGCAATAGGTATTTGTAATCACAGATTGTATACAAGTACTTTGGGGTTGGGATTGTGAGTTTGTAAGGTGAGGTTAAGGAAGCTTCGTTGCTGAAGTCTTCTGTGAGAGTTGGGAACAAGTTCCTAATTTGGGGAACTTGTTAACGGGTTTGAATCTTCACTTGTACAGAGTTTGATTACATAGTGGAAATTTAGAAAAGCCTATATCTTCTCTCGTCATTATTTCATTTAGTTAAATTCCGCAAAAAGTTTTTAGATTTCACCTCAAATACAATTCACCCCCCCTCTTGTATTAGCCAGTTAGACTTTCAGTTGGTATCAGAGCGGGAACTCAGAACACGCAGGCAACCCTGTTGAGTAAGTTCCTGGAAAATGGCTTACACAGAGGAAAAGGAATTCGGGAGTACATCCATTCAAAGGCCTCCATACTTCAATGGCAAATTTTATCCTTATTGGAAGGATAAGATGGAAATCTTTATCCAAGCAGAGAATTATCAGGTATGGCGGATTTTACAAGTAGGAGATTACGAAATTACGAAAACAAATGCTAACAATGAGGTAATCCCTAAACCTATGGATGAATATGAAAAAACTGATTTCGAAAAATTAGAAATGAATGCTACTGCCAAAAAGTTTCTAATTTGGGGACTTGGACCCGATGAACATACTCGTGTCAAAGGGTGCAAATCCGCAAAGGAAATTTGGGATCTTCTGGAAGTTACACATGAAGGAACGTCAGATGTTAAACGTTCCAAAATAGATATTCTTTTATCTCAGTATGAGCGCTTTGAAATGGGAAACAAAGAATCCATTAAAGACATGTTTACTCGATTTAAAAGTATTACTAACGAACTAACGTGTCTTGGTAAGATAATTCCTATAGATGAGCAGGTCAGAAAAGTCTTAAGAAGTCTTCCAGACAATGACAGATGGAGAGCAAAGGTTGCAGCAGTGCAGGAATCAAAAGACTTCACCAAGTTCAATCTGGAACAGCTTGCGGGTTCCCTCATTACTCACGAGATCCAGTCGAACAATCGGACTCAGGAGACTGTCAAAAGTCAAGGGCTAGCATTAAGAGCTAATGAAGAATCCGAAGAGAAGTCTGACATCGATGAAGAAGAAGCTGCAATGTTGGTGAGAAGGCTGAAAAAATTCTACCGTAACAACAAGTTTTTAGACAAGAAGAAAGGATACAGTAAAAGAAATCAGGAACCCAAAGCCAAGTCTTCTTGTCACAAATGTGGAAGCACCAACCACTTCATCAAAGAGTGTCCATTATGGGAATCTGAGAAAGGCAAGGGAAAAGAAGCTGATCAAAGCAGAAATTCCAAGCCTAACTTTTCTAAAACAAATTTCAGGAAAGCAATGATTTCCACGTGGGGAGAATCAAGTTCCGAAGAAGAGGAACAGGAACACACAGACGATGAAGTAGCCAATCTCTGTCTAATGGCAAAGCATGATGATGAGGTAGTCATTCAACCTAGTTATTTGAAATCTCTCTCAAAGGATAAATTAATCTCTTTATTGTTAGAAACCTTAGATGAATATAAAGAATTATGTGCAAAACTAAGGCAAGCCGAAAAGACAACTGGAATTTGTAGAGATCATGTTAAGTATCTGAATAGCTTAAGAAATGATGTTCAAGGCAGATTCTTTGAATTGTTAGATAAAAATATTATGCTAAAAGAATCCCTTGAAAGAGTCAAGAGTGAGAATATCATGCTGAATATTGAATTGACTCAATATAAAATGTTGTGTACTAACATTGATTCTTGCAGGTCTACTGAAGTTCCTTTAATCATGTTTAATAATGAACTAGAGCATGTTAAGAAAGAGATAAAGGAAACCAATGATAAAAATGAGAAACTAGAAAAGGACCTAGAAATTGCAAGAAAAAGTAAAAATACAGCAAGCACGGGTGTTCCCAAGTGGGTAAAGGAAGCTCAGACAAAAAGAACAGAAGGTCTAGGCTATGTTCATAAGAAGAAGTCCACTGGAAAGAAAAAGAAATATGTGAACTTACCTAGTGAGACCGTTTGTTCTTTTTGTGGTAAAAAGGAACATCGCAGTGAAGAATGTACTAAGAAAGCAAATCTGTACAATAAGAATGTGAACTATGTTTGGCAGAAGAAATCTGATTTAAATGTGTCAACACAGGAACCCATGAATGAAAGGGTTCCTGCTA